GATAATAACAAATTATAATATACTTAATGTATATACAAAAGTAAAAGTAAAAGAATTAACTTTGAAGTAGGAGGATCAAAGGCCCAAAGCAGGATCTTAGTTGCAAAAAGTTCTTCTTTTATTCTTGATTTAGAAAAATTATAAACGTTTCGGTCCATTTTTCGACCATTCTCAGTACAACATTAAAAGCAGTCTAATAACTTATCACGGTAAAAGAAAAAATCTGTTGTTCATCGGACAGCAATCAGTAAATTAATTAACATTAAAAAGTAGGTTTGAGCATCTTCATTTATGAGGTTGTCAAACCACAGTCACTCATGATACACAGTGGCGCACTAAGGATATTGGGGGAGGGGGGGAGGTTAAAATTTACACACAAAATGAAACAGTATGACCAAAAGTCAGGATAATTTTATATTGGATAGCAAATGTTTCTTAACCGTTAAGCATCAATAAGAAACGTTTTTAAAAAATTTTTAATTTTTACAGGAATAATAACAGAAAAATCTTTAAAAATTTTATTTGTTATTAAAAAAACACATAGTTGTCTTAAAGAAAAAATATGTAGCTGAAATAATATCATATCATGTTTTTTCTTAAAGATAACTGTGTTTTTTTTACACCAATTGATTCCTCTCATTATTTTGTGCATAAAAGTGTTGAGGTAAGATAATTGAAAAATGAGTAATTGTAAAATAAATTCTTCTTTTTTGGCTTCGTGGAATGAAAAATCCTTTTCTGTAATTAAAGTTCGTATGCTAATAGTATAGGAAACGATCGATTTGAAAGGATTTTTTATTCCATGCAGTCCAAAAAAGAATTTCACGAAAAATAGAAGGTAAAACAGGTCGATACTGTAATAAGAGACTATTTTTTTGTTGCTTTTATAGAATCACAAATCCTTTTGTGTGATTAAAGTACACATGCTAATTGTTCTGCGGCGGGTCAAATTAAAACCAAAAAAGAAAAAAATTTGGAATAAAAATATATATATATATATATATATATATAGTACTAGTAGTATATACTATATAGTACGTTTAACGTTTACGTTTAACGTTACGTTAACGTTAACGTTTAACGTTTAACGTTTAACGTTTAACGTTTAACGTTTAACGTTTAACGTTTAACGTTTAACGTTTAACGTTTAACGTTTAAACGTTTAAACGTTTAAACGTTTAAACGTTTTAAACGTTTTAAACGTTTTAAACGTTTAAACGTTTAAACGTTTAAACGTTTAAACGTTTAAACGTTTAAACGTTTAAAACGTTTAAACGTTTAAACGTTTAAACGTTTAAACGTTTAAACGTTTAAACGTTTAAACGTTTAAACGTTTAAACGTTTAAACGTTTAAAACGTTTAAACGTTTAAAACGTTTAAAACGTTTAAACGTTTAAACGTTTAAACGTTTAAACGTTAAACGTTTAAAACGTTTAAAACGTTTAAAACGTTTAAAACGTTTAAAACGTTTAAAACGTTTAAAACGTTTAAAACGTTTAAAACGTTTAAACGTTTAAACGTTTAAACGTTTAAACGTTAAACGTTTAAACGTTTAAAACGTTTAAAACGTTAAACGTTAAACGTTAAACGTTAAACGTTAAACGTTAAACGTTTAACGTTAACGTTAACGTTAACGTTAACGTTAACGTTAACGTTAACGTTAACGTTAACGTTAACGTTAACGTTAACGTTAACGTTAACGTTAACGTTAAACGTTAACGTTAACGTTAACGTTAACGTTAACGTTAACGTTAACGTTAACGTTAACGTTAACGTTAACGTTTAACGTTAACGTTTAACGTTAACGTTAACGTTAACGTTAACGTTACGTTAACGTTAACGTTAACGTTAACGTTAACGTTTACGTTACGTTACGTTACGTTAGTTACGTTACGTTAGTATATAGTATATATATATATATATATTTTTATTTTTTTTTTATTATTATAATTTGACCCGCCGCAGAACAATTAGCATGTATAATTTAATTACACAAAAGGATTTGTGATTCTCTAAAAGCAATAAAAAAATAATTTTTTATTACGATATTGGTTTAATCCACTTAAATAAAAATAAAAATTTCCATGAGATCAAAGATAGATCTCAAATTTTTGAGAGAATAGACAAGATCAATGTACTCGTAGAGAGAATTTATTTATTTAATTTATCTCTGTGGCTTATCGACTGAGAAGACTGTGAGTATGTCCCTTCACCGTGAAGCACAGGTATGGCAGTAGTTGTGCTGCGGATCAATCGAACCGGCCAACACCATCCAGGTACGGTCTTTGCTGTTTCTGCCTGATTTTTTGTACGAACGGGCGACTTCGACTCGCTCGTGATCTCAACCGCGCGCATGCACTCGTGATGTCTTTGCGACGCGAGCGAAAATCACGAAGAGAATCGGCGAAGATCACGATTGCTAGTTGTGGTCCTGATCGGCGACAGCGAGTGCATCCTTGGGGATGGGGTGGCAGTGCACTGTGCAACCCTTGCCTTCGGCAAGGATACATCGACCGTCGTCGTAGTTAGAATTTCATCATCAGCAGCTCTCGTCGATTTCTTTTTTTGTATTTTTTTCGTTTCAATCGCTGTCACGACTGTTTTCACTCGTTAACGGATAACCACAATGGAGAGTGAATCAAAAACTTTCGATTTGATTTTTATTTTGTATTTGCGATCATGACTGTAATTGCAACTTGTCGATTGATATATGGGTACAAAACACTTGTCTGCGTGATTTGATACAATCAGTTTAATCGCACAGAGTGTTATTATTGACATTAATTAACAAATTCAATTTGTAAAGTTTATACAATATTCTGGATTCCGTTTTGGATCAGTTTGTATAAACATTAAACTGATGACCTACAATTTCAAATAGTACGACAAACAAGCGATGCAATGTATCTTAAGCAATGCATTTTTGTTATTGGCAGTATTGCTCAATGTGATAATTTCTGTTATTCGGAGAATTCTTACGAATATTTCACGCGTGTACGATTATATTTTTCATAATTTGTTTCAGATATAAATTTTATTATTAAAAAAAAGTATTTTTACATTTTACACGTTATAAAATAACTTCTAAATTTTTTTTGAGGAACAAAATTTATTATTAAAATTGAAATTCTGCATTCAATAAGATGTTATTTTAAATGTTAAATGTTTTCGTATGTATATTACACTACTGTAATGCAAATAATTTTTTATCGCATCGATTAATGACTTATTCAACAATTTTTGCTACAACCGTTATTGAATATTTTTTTATATGACAGTTTATTTCCGTAAGACTTGTGCAAATATGATATGATATGCTATGATATGATATGCAACATAATATGAGACATACATGCATGATAAAATCTACAGAATTACAAAAAACAAAATTTAATTTTAAAATGGATCTAGACAGTAGCCAAATTAAGAATTAGATAAATAAGTTATATTTTTGCTTTGTATTAAAACGTGAATTTGAACAGATATAGATTCTTTATGTAAGAAGCAGAAAAAGTATTGCATTGAACTATATTTTTAATATACGTAACTGTAATTTATACAATTACTCGTGCAATAGATCTAGTTTTCTAAAAAATTGTTTTTCATACTAAATTGCATACTAATACTAATATGCAAACTTTTTGCATATAATATGGTTTTTTTTTAATCTTTTGCGTTCATTAGGTTTATCTGATTAGAATATGTGCAATACTGACTTTGTCATCCGAATCTCAACCGGAAAAGACAACCTTGATGAAACTCTTCTTGTTTTTAGATCAATATTGATCAATGCAATGGCAATTTATGCATAACAAATGTTTGACAGAGGGATGTGAAACCCCGTTCTCACTTAGTTTCAACGTTGCGTGCAAGGTGATAATTTTTTTTCGGCGTAGCATAGATGAGCATAACTCAAACAAATCTAACAAAATGCCGATTCTTTTGTTCACTACTCATGCTTTCTTACTTTCGTTTGTATTTTAACAGATTCATTGACATATAATATTTTCATATAGATTGTTCAGAATTTGCTTTGTATAAAAATAAATAATTGAGTAATTCGCTCACGTTTCATTGAACTTATTGTTAAATCAATGAGATGTATCAGACAAATTCTTTATATGATGTATCAAACTAGGTTAATGTGCACTGAAATTTTTTAATTCAGAATTCAGTTTCTACACATTTTTTTCAAGAAATAGGCTTCTATAGAAAGGATTTTCTATCTATGTAAAGGAATATTTTTGTAAAAAAAAATTAAAGGCAGTTAAATGGAACTGACATGTTGGGAATGTCAGGGACATAGATGGAACAATAGACATGGGAATATTGAAGAAGATTCCGAGTGCAAGATATTCAAGCATATAAAAATAAAACAAAAGATTAACATTTTTAACATTCCGTCGAGATTTCTTAATCGCCGAAGGCAAAAAAGACCGCAGAATGCAGTTTTCGTTGTTTTCGATCCAAATTATAGCGTTGATTGCGGTAATATCTATTAACTATTATTTATAGCCTGCCATTAACTGTTTCGTGGAGTCGCGAAGCGATTGTGATATAACTTCTGGTGTTGTTAAATGTTAAAATTAGAAAATGCAAGAAAATCCATAATCCGGTAATATTCGCATATCAGAACAAACAATATATCGCAGTAAATTTATTATAAAACAGAAAATTAAATAATTAGAGTTTTTTATAAATAACTTATAAAAATATGCATTTTATACTTAACATTTTATATTTTTATCAAAGCCTATAAAATTAGTTTAAAATATTAGATATTAGTTAGAAGAATTTATGCAGTTTTCAACTATTTTATTTCAAAATTTAATAAAAAGTTTGTTTTATTGTTTAAATCATAAAGCAATGATTCTATTAGAGGTACGTCATCTAATACATATTAATTTGCAATGTATGAAATTTATATTTACTTTTTAGGTCGGAAATTATGAAAAATCGAACTAATAAAATTGCATTTGTGTGATTTGCACACAATCGCGCTACAACAATCGAGGCCGCCGATTGACAAAGCGCGACACGACACCGGATCGCAAATCGGGAGCATGAAACTGGGAGAATACATTTCATCCACATGATCGATTTTGTAAAAGCGAATACCTGTAGCAACGAGTCGCGCTGCTCTCGGTTTTTGCAACCCGTCACTTCCGTCGCCGAAGCGTGGCTATCTACCCCCGCGAGAATCCGGTGCTTTTTAGGGCAATCGGTACGACGGGCGGGGGATTTCGTTGACGGCCGTTTTATACGGGGCGGCGCGAAGAGTTGATAAGTGGGACATACACTCCAGCATCTCGGTATTTCGTAGTGAACTCGCCATCAGCTCAGACCATCCATCCAGGAGAGAACTGTCAGGAAAATCTCCGTGTTCTGTGTCTTGAGCTCTCTCGTGATCCTTGCAGCAAGGAAGTCGCGATCTTATTCACGCTTGCACGTCATCCAAACTGTAAGTCATCTGACTTGACATTTTTTTCAGATTTTTTTCGATTTTGCGGTATATAATTATTATCAAAATTAAAGAACGTATGTAAAAAGGTATTAGTAACGCGCTCTTTCTTGATGTTCTTAATATTCTATCGACAAATTTGTTGCAATTGATAAAATTTACACGTCGAAATTGATCTCAATGAAAGACGTGTGAAGTGAAGCATCAGTTTAAATTGTCAAATTATCGAATAATATTTTCTTTTATCTTGTGTAACATTTTAAAATTGAAAAACGCAGCTTCGTAAATAATGACACATTATCACGAACACAATTAGCTGTTATGATAAAAATTATTCGATACTGTTACTTCCTTTCCATACGAATTTGAACTAAATTTTCGTTACTTTCGTGATTGTTGAAATTTCAAGTGCTTGTTTTGCTCGCTGTCTTTCAAGTAACGGTCCATTCCTAAATAACAAAATGTAAAGATTTCTATTGAAAAGAGAGAAGTGTTTTAATGAGACAGTTTCCGCTATGACATAAATTTAGACGTATTCGACACTAGTCAAATTATTTTTCGTACAGTTACGTGTCTTATTACATTTCGTACATGATTGAAATTATACGGAGATACTAGGAGCTCCTTTCTAAACAGGAAATTTAAAAAATCTGTGGACCAGAATAGTTTGTGATAAATGATTATCGCGAAAGCGTGCGATCATCATTTATCATACCTTTCCTGTTTAACGTTCTATTACTTTGCACATAAATTGCACCATTAAGTTTCCGCTAAAATGCAGTTTGATATATTTAACGAAAAAGTAGGACTCTTTTACGTCTCTTTTCTTCTGAAACTTTAGAAACTTAAAAGGACGTTGATTCTAAAACAAGTCGAAAAGGATATCTTGTGATTTTAAGATGTTATATTAAGGATATTCTATCTACATATACCGTGTAATCGTTTTTTGTAGCATTCTTTCCGTCACATCGAACGAATTCAAATTAATGGAACTAAGAGCATTATTGCGCGGTGCTTAATCATCGCGTGGTGAATATCTTTTTTTCCACCGATACCTTTTAAGTTTTTTCTCATTTGTCGCGGCTAGCAAACTTCCCGTACGGCACACTTTCTTTAGCAGCTCTGTCCTGCTTATTAGAGTGGAATCAAATAAGATCTCGTAAGGTGATCATCATCACGCGGACAATATGACATTTCGCTCTACATGTCAAATTTGATATAGTTATCAAAATATTCGAGATCCAAGAATGCACATTTGAATTATTTGCACAGCTCAGATTGCACTTGAACGTCGACTGGCAAACTCGTACGAAGAGAATCTTCACATAATAAATTTTTATTTTGTGCAACGCACGTACATATCCAAAAATTACCATGTCAATCGGCACTTATGGCATTCATTTCTGAGAAGAAATACGAGTGTGTATTTTTATTAGGTTGATATTTTTGTACCGATAGAATAATACGATAACTTTCCGATGCAATCGAGTTGTTTTGTTAATGCGAAACGTGTTCGAGATTCAATTTCAAGACGAAATGCAGTGAAGAGTATAAAATACAGTAACTGGAATCAAAACCGTGCAGTGAGTGGGTGAGAGTAATTTCGCTGCAACATAATTAGTTATGTTGCAACACGTGCTCGAGTTTCGTATGCAATCCATGCGGCTAAAAGTAAAATTACGAAGAAATAGAGAAAGAAATGGAAAGTCGATACGCGGAAAGATATACGTTGATATAAAGAAAAAATATTGCTTATTAGTAAAACCAGTTAACATTGAATATATACATTATGTTAATTTTTATTATTTACATATTTTTTATTATTATAATCATTATTAGATACCTTGAGAATAACCGATAAAAAAACCAAACATTCAAGTTAATCGTAATAAATGTTTCAGCACAATCATTCTGTGCCACTTTATCGAGAAAAATATTTTTACATTAATTTATTAACAACAATTATGATTTTTCGGTAAGATCTTGATAAAACCAACCGCAATGACGCATTCGAAGTGCAACTTATCACACCGACTCCATTCTGCAGGTTTCGCGCATTGCTTTTCGCAATTTGCAGTCTCGTAATCGTTTTGCATACGACGAAGGACACGAATGAGTGCAACTGTCAAAGCTATGAGAAAATTCTTTGCTGTGCTTCGAAGACTTTAGTTATATGTAGATTGTTATATTTTGTATATTTTGACTGTTGAATGCAAAAATATGACGTGACATAGATCATGTTATACATTCAACAAACATGTGCTTGTTTTACTTCGAAGAAGATAGTTACCGAACATCATGTGTAGCAGTACACGTTTAATCTCGGGAGAAAACATCACGTGCTGTAGGATTAGTAGGTCATGTTCCTCTTTAACATCTCCTGCTTGCTTTCGACGAGCATCCGATCAACCTTCCATCGTTAATCGATTAAAAGAAAAGTTTTGGTTTATCGTAATTTATAATAATCAACATTTACGTTAATTTATAACAATATTAATAATTAATATTAATTTATAATGCTTTCAGCGAAAGAAAATTTCTATATTTTTATATTTTAAATTTTCAATTTTATTGTGAATCTTGTTTATCCTCGACTTTATTTCTTCTTGTTTCTGAGGAAACTCACAGTATCATCCTTTTCGATTGTTACAAATCTCAATACAAACAAACGAACGCGTGCTCACGTTGCAAATTTTTAACTGTTTCTTGTCCCCTTGATTATGGGGACACTTCTTGTACGTGCCTCCTTTCGTAAACTTTTTGCAAGTGCGGCATACCGCTTCCGATCGAAAACGCAAGGCGATCTCGCTTTGGATGACACGTGCTATGCGTCGTGCCCATCTCGAGAGCTGGCTAGGAATTTCGATCCATGATTGGCAATGACCTCAAAGACGCCATTGGCCTCCTTTTGTGGAGAACCTGTTCCATACTCGTACGGCACTAACTGATAGTCTTCCTCATCTCTCCTCCTTTCTTCAACAGTTGTCCCCTTTCTCCGCCACTGAAGCGTACTCCGTCTACATCATGTACCGTTCCGAAGTGCCGTAAGCACTTTTACTATCCCTGATATCTCTTTGAGTCTACAATCTCTCGGAGAGAAATGCTCACGTATCGTAAATACATCGTCTGGCACAATGTGAAGTCTGTGCCATCTAGAAGTAGACAGGATGTCTTATCTTTGATTTTACGTAAACATAAACATGATTTGATTTTATATAATTAATATTTTACCTTATTTTACATATTAAATATTATTTTACAATTATTCTTGAGTTTAAATTATATTTTTAAAAAAACACTCCTTAAATATTTTCAAATTCAAAGTTTTCAGATTCAATATTTAATTAGATCTGTAAGTGAAAATGTTTAGAGAAATTTATTTTATTCGTTTAACATCCGTTTTATTTCTATACTTTTATGCGGGTTTAAAAGTCAACAAGACTCGTGAATCGTTTTACTATAAGATACTTTAATTCGCGACAACATTCTCGTTGCAAACGTGATAAAAGCGAATCGTGATTCTCTCAGCTTCTTTTACGACAATCAAATTTCGTCACCGTAAGATTTCGTATCGTACATCGATTGTGAGATCGGAAAATGTGTGTCTTCCGCAGCGCTTTCACATGGATTATTCACACCCGTTCTTTACCGTTTGTATGGCGGCAATATAGTTGCAATAAGTGAGGAGATAGCTGTACTACTGACTTATAGTCAATCCATAATTAACCTCTCGTCAGAAGGATCTTTTCTCTCTGGGTTAGAAAATAATGGCGAAAACGATACATGATATATAGTGTACTATTGAGAGAAGCAAGGTAGAACATGTCGATTTGTTTATCTAAATTGATGCATCGATAGAATAAATCGATAGAATAAATAGCTAACATAATTAATGCAAATCTTCAAAAATCTTCAAATTTAACCTGCGATATATTTTGGAATTTTGCTTATAATTTTACAGATTAATTTTATATATTATAATATGTATTTTTGACGTATTTGATATATTAATATGTTTCCTACATAGATAAGCAAAATTGTAAATCGTTGAGTAAGATTTTATAATTGATTTTAAGATCGATGACTTTTAGGTGCTGCTAATAAATTTCTTGCAGCTTTAAATATTTTATTTCGCTATTAAGATCCGGGAATACACTAATATTTATAATGATATGCCTTTCTCTTCGGTGGTTTCATTTGAAAGTTTACTAACTATGCAGCTATCTTAGCACCGTAAATTGGATAGTGAAATAAGAATTTACGACATTGTTAAATAAGAAAAGCGTAAGCTACTTTGCAAATGGTCCGTCAACCTAGTTATTCTGGAAAAAGAGTTAATATTAACATTAGTCAACCACACTCGCTTACACCTTGTTACATTTTGCTTTGTATGCCTACGTTGATTGACAGTTGGCTTTGTGCAAACGTGTTCGTCATAGACACTCGTTTAAGTGACATGAACTTTCAACGTGATGATATTTACATTTCTAATCTGTGCAATGTATACGCGTTTTCTTAAGACCGAGAGCATGATAGTGCCAGTTATTTGCGTAAAGTCTGTAAAATTCAAAAATTTCAAAATCATTAATACATACGATATCTGAAAATAAATTATATAATAAGGGAACATTTTTATTCAGCAAAGGAATTGCATTACCTAACAATATTGTTTCAGCCATTTATTACAAACTTAATTTAATAAATATCGAAAGAATTCGAGGATGTATACTTTCGTTATGCATTGCATAAAAATTAATTAAGTGAAAATATCTGCAATTATCAGGGAAATTTATTTGTTATTTACATCAGCATATTATTAATCGTCGTAAAGTCGCAAGAATGATGGCAATATTGTAAAGTTCAACCGCAGTCAATAGCGATAGTAACTTCGTCACCTCAATGTCCCACAATGGATTCCGTTTATTTTTTCTTTCAGCGATGGTTTATGAGAAACCTTGAGCTAAAGTCATATTTTTGTGGACCAACGTTCCAAGGAAAGTAAAAGATGTCAGTTTCTGTTAGAAGATTATTGAAAATGCTTTGCGAATATCGTTAGAGACGAGATAAACAGATAAACAGATTCGTAATACACTTTGATCGAAAATAGTAAACTTATTTAAGAAAGCGTTAGTAAATCCAACTAATAATATATCAATTATGAGCGACAATTATAAATTATTACACATACAACAGAATGTAGGTTGGTGTGTTTATTAACGCAGATTGATTATTGAACTCTGACAGTTGCGGAGTTACGATTCGCAGCGTCGTGGATCAAGTTCCGTTAAATTATGCGTAACTCATCTCGAGAGAGAAAGAGAACTGAAATAGGAAGATTCGCCGACAGAAAGGAACATTTAAAAGTGGGGCACCTACATAACTCACGTCGTCTTCACGCCATCAGGGTCGCAGCCGCAGTCAGAGTAGGCATGGCTAGTTTGTGTTTAATTAGCCGTAAAATGCAGAAAAAACATGAAAGCGTTAATCGTATACGTAAATTGCATTTATTTTAGATCGGTTATTGCTTTATAACAAAATAATGCTGCGTTTCACGGAATAATTATCAAAACTGCGATTTGTTAATTTTATAAAAATTTAATTTGCATTGCCACATGGTTTTCAATTTGCGGAATTTACAGTTCCGCCTTTACGAAAATTACTCGATAAACCCGGTGTAGCAATAATTTTAACGTTTCTTCGAATTGCGACGCGTTTCGAAATACATAAAAAGACGCGACCGTCCCCAATAATCGATCACAAGGCTTTTACGTCGGGAAAAAAGCGCGATTTAATGAAAATCCATCTTTTGCTAAACCGCAACAAGATTGCGCGCTAATGTAACATCACCCGGCAATTACCGGATTGCTCTGGTGCAACAATCGCGTTATTTCTTTGTCATGAAACTGAAGTTTCCGCGGTCGGCGACATCACCGTTCGTGCTGAAGACGCACTCTTTTCGTGCGCATTTTAGAAATATTATTCTCTTCATACAGATATTCGTTCGGCGTGTCGAAAGCTGTGGCGCGATGTTTCAAGAATTCTCTCATCCATGCATACGCTTTCCACATGTACGCGGCACATTAACCACACATAATGTTCTGGAAAGTCGTAACGAGATCATTACACGCTGTAACGTACGCCGAGAACCATCAGGGAGCCATGAATCTTTGACTAATGACGACGCGACAATAGACAGCTGGTACCTTTCACGTTACAAAAAAAAAAGTGATACATACGTTGTAGCCGCTAGCATCTTGAAATTTACTTAACTGATTTTGCTAGCATCGATTTATCGATCAGACCGATAATATATTTAATACATTTACGACAGATTTTATTGAAAAGCACACAAAACGAAAAAAAAATTAATATATTATTATTGTCGACTATTAAACCTATTAGTTTATGCATTTATATGTTTTTATTCTTATATTTTCCTATTTTGAAAGTCTCAATATATGCATGCCTGAACATTATTATACTCACATCACATCAAGACGTTGAAACGAATACCCTTGTCGAGACGATTCTCGTTTTGTCATCAAATACTCAGATGAATATTTAGACAAACAGCAAATATAGATCAGCAGCGGTTCTTTTCTTGCTTCAGTGAAATATATTACTTTATTATTTATTTTGACCTCTTCATTCCTAAATTATTCAACAGCTACAGAAACCATTTTCCTTTTATATTCTATGCATATTATGTAACAAATTAATTATTCACAAAAAAATTTGATATCTTAAAAACGTTTAAGAACTGTTTATTCCTTCTAGGAATTATTTACCATTTAAAAAATTTTAGTATTTTAAATTATGACAGCTTTTAATTATTTTTTACATACATATATCTTATTATTTCTTTTATTCAGTATAATTTTGCTACCGCAGAATCTGAAACAGATTGTGACATTTTTATAATTATCTCAACAGATGCTAACATTACTTGATGATTAATTCAAAATATCGTGAAATAATACAGCGCAACTTTCCGCATGTTAGAACGACAAATATCTATTCTAGATACTTCAGCATGGCACCGAATTTGTTCGGCAATTCAGCAACTTTATTCCTTGAAGCCTCACAAGATATATCTCAGAAGAAGTCAGCGGCGGAGAAGGCCGTGACGCAGAAATTGCCCTTGCAAAAGGCACAAAACTCGAAACCGAAGTACCAATGGAAGATCGTCTGGAGAAACGTGATAGCTTTCGTCTATCTTCATCTCGGCTCACTTTATGGATTATACCTTTGTTTCACAGCCGCCAAACTTTACACAACGCTTTGGCGTACGTTCTATTCAATGTTAATGTTTTAAAACTTGATCATTTTTTATTAATTACGATCAATTAATATGCAAAAGTGAAATAATGTAACAATAATTATTATAAGCATCTCGTTGTCTTATAGATACCGCAATATCATCTTTAAGTTACATTGTTATTATATTTTTTCAGTGTTATTATACGGAGTTGTGGCAGGCGTCGGCGTTACAGGGGGTGCTCACAGATTATGGGCTCATCGGGCTTACAAAGCAAAATGGCCGTTGAGAGTCTTTCTTATGATTCTGCAGACAGCAGCTTTTCAAGTAAATGTCCCAGTACAACTTATTTATATGCATTAAAAGATACCGATTTTATAATTATAAATATTTTATCGCGCAATTTATATTTTAGTAACAGCACAAATACATTTAAAAAATATTGAACCAAATCTTTCTAAAAGAGATTCATTTTTATCGAGAGCTTCGTCGAGAGAAATATTCTCGAAAAGTTCTAGAAAAGTTCTTTAATGACATTTCGCAGAATCATATTTACGAATGGGTGAGAGATCACAGAGTCCACCATAAGTTCACGGATACAGATGCGGATCCGCACAATGCACAAAGGGGCTTCTTCTTCTCGCACATGGGCTGGCTCTTGGTGCGCAAGCATCCGGACGTCATCAACAAGGGTGCCACGATCGACATGAGCGATCTCGAGAAAGATCCTGTTATCATTTGGCAGCGCAGGTGCGACAGAAATAACTCAAAAATGCTGTTCTTCAGAATCGATCAGCATACAATATCGAGTGTTTTATTAAAGGCAAAAGTTTCCACCGTTTTTAAGGCAATTTTCTTCAGTAATATTTAAAATAGTACAATATTTTTAATTAAAATATTTTTTGGCACTATCATTTGGCACTTTTTGCTATCTTTCAGGCAAAAGATGGGTAGAAGAAGTCTCTGTTTTTGGAGCGACGTATCTGCATGCGAACGATGGAAACTTGTGCATATTTCTAATAAAACATATGGTCCAATTTTACATGAAATAAATCACGTTTCTTGCAGATTATACATTATTCTGATGCCGGTCTTCTGCTTCCTGCTGCCCAGCTGGGTGCCGTGCTACTTCTGGAATGAAAAGCCTATGTACTCGTGGTACTGTACTCTATTCAGGTATACGCTCTCGCTACATCTGACGTGGCTGGTAAATTCCGCGGCTCACATGTACGGTATGAGGCCGTACGACAAGTGAGTATCATTGAAAGTCCAAAGTGTGTAAGCGTGCGAATAAACATGTCCAACAATATTGTAATGTTTTATCGCAGCACCATCAGCCCCACCGACAGCCTGAGCGTGGGCATCGTCGCCTTCGGCGAAGGCTGGCACAATTATCACCACGTGTTTCCGTGGGACTATAAGGCTGGCGAGCTGGGCAACTATCGCACTAACGTCACCACCGCGTTCATAGATTTCTTCGCTCGAATCGGCTGGGCCTACGATCTGAAGACCGTGGCGGTCGGCATGATAAAGAAGCGCGCGGCCAGGACGGGAGACGGCACGAGGTACGAGCGGACGGCCGATCATCACGATCACACGCACGAGGGTGCTGTGTGGGGCTGGGATGACGCCGACATGGCGCCTGAGGATATGCAAAACGTCGAGATCATAAACAAGGGCGACTGAGCCTTGACACTCAGTCACTCGGCACCTTTGTGACATTGACTGATTCGATCGGGACTACGTAGAACATTCGGCGCGAATGTGGTTAATTTATGATTTATGGCTATTGCGATGATTTTGCGAATTTATTACGAAAATCTTAATAATCTCTGAATCGTAATTTTCAGCTGATTACAACAGTCGCGTGCTATATTGTCGAGCGACATGAGAAAGTTACTTTTACAGGATTTGCTACAGAAATTGGTGCATCGACGATCGAAGAACGCAGTGATAAAAAATTTACATTACTTTTTGTCCAACAGCTTGCGTATAAAATGCTACTGACGCACGATTTAATTTTTTTCATCTGGCTTGGAATTATTGCTTTGAGTCAATATGCACATATAATTATCTCAATTTGAAATTTTAATTAAATATGTTTAATGTAGCATTTTTTTCAGTAGAATAAATTTTCTCAGCGATTTTTATATTCTTATTACGCAATACGTGATAAAATGTACATGCAACCTTTGATATCAAATGCAAATTTCATGCAAATATATAAAAGATAATGTGTATAAAAGTCATTAAATGTATATTTCGCGTAAACATTAATGATAATAACGTTTGTCTTGAATATGCACGCTCTACGCTAGGAAATCCCATTGACAGCATTGTCGGATGAGAAGGTGGTCGCCCAAAGAACAATGATCAGTCGTTTTAATGGCATCAATTAATATTTATTGTATAATATTAATCATATATATATATGTTGTTATGTCGTTCCTTTCTTCAAATCGGAAAATTACTTCAAGTTAGATCGCCTCAAAGGAGAGAACAATTTGAAAACTCGATAGCAACTTCTTCTCGAACTGATCGATCTCTAAGATCGATCAATCAAAGTGTTTTTAATTAGGGATCTATGTTGGAGGGAAGAAAGGCGTTGCATTGTTTTGTGTTCGAAATAATATTTTATCAGAAAACTCATTTCTGTTGAAGATTCAATCGAGGTCTCGCGAGGTTTCGCAGAGAAGGCAATTACACCAATGATTTTGACCAAATTTACGAAGCTATTTTCTTTATCAATTTATCAATTTTTTGATAAATTTGTAGCCAATATTTCCTCAATAAAAAAATCGATAGATTTTGTTACAAAATATTGAAAATAAATCGTATTTTTTAGGAACTAAACTCAAAAATATAGAAAAAATATTTAATCTTATTTTTTATTCAATTTTAAACGAGTTTTAATAAGTTCACAATATGAGAATTGATTGCAAAAATATTTGATACTGCAAATTAAAAGCAAATTATCTTTATTGAGGAAAAGTAGATTTAAAATTAATTGAAGGATAAGTAAGTGAAATGTAATTTTGCTGAGATACCCTGTTCATTATAGTCACGTGGTACTAGCTCGAGAATAATCTTGATGCAAATGAATCGTCGGAACAATCGCGTGATTCGAGCGATGATCTGGATTTAGTGTGCTAGCGTGTCGTACAATCAATTACGTACCTACGAATCAAATTAATTCGTGGCCTTCTGAATGACTGTTTAGGATGTATTAAACTTATCACGTTTATATCGAGACTGTTTCGATACCTCGAGGTCAATTCCGTAATAATTGTGACGCGAATCGTAATCATAAATTTCTAATGTCGCTGTTCTAATATTGCGTAGTTGTTTTAGTAGAGTTTGAGATACGTTCACTATATTGGAGGGAAATCGATGCTTAAAAAACGAAGATTATTAAGTAACGCATACATGAGAAACGGTTTAACAGTTTTAACGATTGTTGACCATGTAGATAAGAAAAATATAGCTCACATATTACTTGTTATACGAGCAATAACTAATAAGCATTTATATGAAATCCTAACTGATCCCTCGATTCGTTTCGACATAACGACGACAAAGGTTTTACGTGGCATCGCGTCACTTTCACTGTCGTAACATCGAATATGTACGAGTCGCTGATTTTCATGCTTCACGTTCTGATTTTCGTGAATGTATCACGATATAAAGCTGATACAAATCAAAACTTAAATTCAATGCAGAAAATTAAAAAAGTTAGTAACTTAGAAGATTTATTTTAGATCACAAAGACGTATCTACAAAATAAATCTTTCAAAGAATGGACTTATTTTATTTTGATATTGAATCGCTCTAAATCACAGGCGCACAAAATCAGAAAAACAAGAATATTTTTAGCGTTACAGTGCTATCACACTTGATATCATATTGTACCGCGTCACAACATATGTTACAGCAATAATATCTCAGTCGTTGTCGCGTGCAGAGTTATTTTCGCGTTACACAGAATTAGAAATCGGCGATATCGCCGCCCATGCTCATAAGTGACGCGATGGCAATCGAGCTGGCGTTCGCCGTTCGTTTCTTATGTAATTAATTAACGAGCGATTCGATAGCGAGTCGTACGGACTCGAATTCTATCTGTCTTCCGTAAATAATCGCTGTGTATTTGATTCGAGTCTGACGCGGCACAGTGTCGAACGGCGATTTCGCAAAGCGCTCGTTACGAAAGCGCATTGTTCGTTCGTAATACTAATTACGCGACGCGCGACAGTCAATTAAAATCCACTCTATTTTATCGTAGCTATTTGCGATAACGAACAACGAACGGGAACACATCTCTCGGTTGTTCGAGAGATCGGCTGAGCATTAGTCGCAGAAACTAATCTAAACTAATCTCGTGTGAATCAGCCTTCTTGACTTTCAAGCGATAGATTTTTGTGAATCTATATATTTCTGACGAACACATTGTTTCATAATAATGTGAGTATAATACGTAATAATCAATGTAGTCAATGATAGATTCAACGAACGTTTAAAATAATGTTCTCTTTAAATAATTTATTGTTCAACATTATATATATGAATAAATTTAATAAATTTAATTTACAAAAGGTTATATTAGTAAAACGTTAAAAAATGTATTAAGTATGGAAATAAATTCTCTTTAATTTGGATAAAATCAAAACTTGATTTAAAAAGAACTAAAAGAGCTCAATCGAAATATTCTCCATTATTGTCGATAATCGTATATTATTTTTTTGGAAACCTGCCATTGCGATAGAAATTTGGCGTAAATCAGAAAGAATTTATTTCTATACTTAATATAATTATATTAATTTAAATTTCAAACGGCTATTTAAAGGGGTTGAAGTTCGATTGTCGTGCTTTGCTAGATAGGATTAACTCGTTCTGATGTATGAATTCTTTTAAAGCTCGTTCTATTTTATACTTTGTCTTCTCGATATTTAAACTGTCTTTCGATGGTTTTTCCACATGATTTTTACCTTTGCTGTCCTTTGCTGATTGTCCTTTGCTTACATATATCGAAAGATTTCCCTGCAATCCATGTCATCGTATATATTTGCTCGACTGTTTTTGATTTGTGCTATTATGTCACCCGTACGTAAACATGCCCGCGTAGTATCTCTTGACATCTGTGATGATTTAGAGTTCTTTTTCTACGACCGAGCGACCGTTTGATAATTTCGCAGACTGATTACAACTGATTCAAACGCACGATCCTTGCGAGAGACCACAATTTTTCAATCTTAAGTATATGAGAAGCAGCAAAACCGGCGCTTCCACTGTGAATCGTTATTTTTTCTCTTTGTTTTTAGATATAATATCAAAGTCGTAGTTTGTAAATCTTAAGAGCATAGTTTGTAGAGGAGATTATGTGGTTAACAATGTGTGCGAAAGAAGTCGTTGAGACGAATGACGCTTCATCGCACTTATATTCTCGTTCCATACGAACGTAGATTTTGCTAAGACAATATCGCTATTTACACTGTATTTATAAATAAATTATTGTTATCGATACTGACCAATTCGATGCTGTTCTCCTGTCACGTCACTTGTCGTGGACGATCGACGTTGGGCGGTTTCAGTGGGCGGATTCGTATCTTTTATAATTGTTATATAACGCATCCAACGTTCATTAATTACATTTATCTACTATAGCTTAATTACCTATCATTCGAGTACCGTCGCGCATTTCACTTCGACAGATAGTCGAATACGAGGTAACAAAGTGACGAAATTGCAACTTATTCGCATAGCAGCGCATCGTATAGATTGTGTATCCTCTCTAAAGTGCTAATAATTGCTTTGCTTAATCACAGGGTTTCCTAGAACGGGTCGCACCTTTGCGACATCCGGGCGCATGTTTGCATAATTTTGCATTGTGAAATTTCTGTCGTTTCTAGATTTTCGCCCTATCCTTGCGTGTATACATATTACGTGGGATCGTTTGATTGCATGTCATAATATTTGCAATTCCCGATAAAAGTACATCTTTGCTCGTACATACAATTTTAACAAGATATCAAACAATTTGCGAAAAGCTTGACTGTTTTACGATACCTACGCCGGATATACGTAATGAATCATTTCGCAACTTTTACGAGAATCCATCACGTAGGTCTATATAGAATGAAAACATCGTAGAATAAACTGCAAATTGAAAGCGAAAAACAAATAAATCTTATCGAGTCAAGTAATCGCAACTGCACAAAAATATTATTATTAAATCCATCGATAACGCGATAACTTCTGGAACTATTTGATATGATCACGATTCGATAAAGTGCAGAAATTTTTAAAAATTGTCGAGTATTTTTAAAATTGATTTTATTGAAACTTTATGTTGCTATTTTAGTTAAAATTTTATTTCTTTGTAAACGAATAGCAACTGCAGGACTACGTTTCCTCATTTTATTCATATGTTTGATTGAATATTATCCTGGTGAACGACATGAATGAATCAAGCGCTCTTAATTGCGCTTTTAAAATACGGTGTGGGTGCGCTCCACTTATTTCCCTCGCCTCGCGGCCGGTGATCCGCTAATTGCATCAATTTCGGCGAATGTTAATGAACATGTGCGTACGCGACAGCTAATTCGACTCAATTGCTCGCGAATTCGAATGCAAGTCGGCCGTGTCGCGCTGTGTCATATTCAATTAGGAGCGATTTTCGTCGCAAAATCGACTCTCGCATACCGACGCCGACGATAGTGTCACAGTTTCTCTCGGATGATCGAGCGGGGAAGAGATCAAAACAGAATTGAATAATAGATTGAATAGATTTTGAACTGTGAAATGTTTCCACGAAGCTTTACAAGTTTCATGTTTTAAGAGCATTCTTTGCTCTCGTGTTGAATTTGAATTACGCATTTATTGCTGTGCACTTTGGTTTATCAAGCAATGGAAGAACTCTTATGAAGTGAAAGGTACAGAGAATACGTGAAAAAATAACAGCAATCGTGATATTTTTTTTCAGAATCAGAAAATGCGATAATGAGATCATTAGACTTAGGGAAACTTTAATGGATTAATGCACTATCGCAAACATTAATAAAAATCTTTGAAAAGATATCACCGATCGATCAGACTGCGTTTTCCTCTTCGTGATACACAAGAAATGAGACTACTTTAAAAAATTAGTGCGACTACTTAAGAAATTAGATTTCAATGGCTTTAAAAATGAATCGTGAAAATAGAGCGTAGAAAGTAGAAGAATTATTTGCAATTATTTCAAACATCTCGACTTTGATTTTATTAGATAGAAAAACGAAATAAGAAGACTTTTGCATGTTTATCGAAAATAATTGCAGAGCGGTTCGATGACTGGCGAAAGATATATTTGTATATCTATAGATACTCATCGCGTGTCTTTCAAAAAAAAAAGAAGGTATCTTTTTCAATCTTCTATAATATTGTTATTTATAAATTAAAAATTCTGCAGCACCAACGTCACCAGTAAAACTAGATTACGATCGCCTTGACCGTTCTGAAAGTGGCGCTCAAAGGAAGGACAAAAAAAGTGAGAGTGTCGATAGACGTGTCAGAAATAAACACTGTTGATCGGACAGATCGCAAAATCTTGCGAGACACTTGGACATTACAGACGTGTATAGTGCGATGAACAGTTAAAATCGTGGAATTGTAATAGTGATCGAACAGCTGCTACAGTATTCAGTACACAGTACAGTTCAGTCGACAAAATAAGACGAGGACAACAGTTACAAATACGAGGAAGTACGAATAAACAGACTTTATCGCATAATCCGATTTTTATTAAATATTTTTAAAAATTTTAGATTTTTATAAAATTAAGATACAATCTATTTTACTATGCTAGCAGATAGCGACTGTGTAAAATGCGATACTGTCTAATTCTTTAAGAACATTCAGGTAAAAATTTTATTGTGTTTATTATTATTATACTTATAGATTGCAAGATAACATAATTTTTAAAAAACATATTGATTTCTTAGGAATTCACACAATTTTATTACAATAAAAATACAGTAACAGAAAATCTTAAATTTAATAGATGCGGTTTGTATACGCAAAGCCTTGCATGCGTACTATGTGCGTAAAATAAGTCATACATAATTCTGTTTTGCATCGAATGCAATTGAGCATAGCAAAACACGGTGCACCTTTTAATTCGATAATTTGTTTCTAAGAAACGATTGAGAGATCATAACTGCCACTTACTGCTTGCGTTGAAGTTCGCGTTGTGAACTTGAATGAACTAATAGAGAATCATATTATGATATTATAGAGCAATCAACTTTTTCATTTATTTTTAAACCAAAATAAAGTGAAATTATAAACAAATGTAATAAAATATACAGGTAGTTTCAAATTTATGAGAAGCAGATATTTTTAATTTTTACAGAATTCAAAAACTATTCTTTAAAATAGAAAACTGTATTCTTGTCAGTTAATTTCATATTGATCTTTTTAGTTACGATTCATTATACACAATTTAAGAAATAATAAATAATGAAAATAATATGTATTCTCTATTTTTATATGTTTTTGTAACAATTTTTAAATTACAGGTGTTTAAAGTGATCAAGTAATTATTTGCTCTAAATTTCGCGTAAGACTTTTTTGAAAAAAAAACGACTGACAATCGCAGCACACACACACACACACACAGTTGATTCCGTGAAATTAAACATTTTAATTTTTTAATTATTGACAAACATTACAGAGATTAGATTACGCATCCCCTCTCGCACACATCCAGATGGGTAACAAAGTCGGAAATCGGCCGAAAGGCGGCGCCTATTACTTTGACGCAGTCGACACGGCATCGACAACGTCAAAATCGCCTCATTATAACAACACTACCATTGCGTTCTTGTGCTTCTTATGCGGTGCCTGTTTTATCTTAAGCTTGGTCTGTTCTTTTCTGGTGACGTTGATCGTTTTGCTGAACAAAACCGTTGTGGCTGCGAGCTATCAAAACGGTAAGAACATTGTTTTTATTGAATTTTTGAAGTGTTTATGTTCAAAAATAGTTATTAAGAACTGTGCCACGTGTTCAACGAAATGCTTTGTTTACGGCGGTACGTTGGTGTCACATATTATTTATCCGTTAAATGGAATGTATGCGTTGATAAGAATTTTTCTGAATCCATTTGTCATGTTTCTTTGAATTTATAGATTCAGTCAGCCAGTAATCAAACTTTGTTTTCAATTTCCGTTGAGGAAATATTGTCCTTATACATCCTCCTTAATTATGTCAACATGTGAGATCAATAATATCAGTCAGATAAAATCTATTACTTTCAAAGTATGTGCTGATATTTATTTGTATTTACAGCAATGGATACTACAAGCTTTAGATTGCCAAAAGAAGTCTATCCCATACATTATAATCTTTTACTACACCCGGATCTTAATGAGGGAACATTTTCTGGAAAGGTGGTTATTCTTTTCAGTGTCGAAGACACTAGGAAGTTTATAGCTCTTCATCAGAAGGATCTCGAGATCACATCTGCAGATATTACAACTCATGGTCTAAAAGAGGATTATAAAATTAATATTTCTTCCATCAGCAAACCTACTGAATATGAAATCTTTACCATATCAACTGAGAAGGATCTTATGCCAGGAATGTATGACTTGACTCTGAATTTTACTGGAAATCTAAAAAAGAAAATAGTTGGATTTTATTCCAGCACATACTTCAATAAATTTTTAAATAAAACTAGGTAGTATACATTGATTGTTATTTTATATGTAATAAGTATACAAACTTTATGAAAGATTTCTGATTATAATGCATCTCGTACATTTTGATGATAGATATATTGCTACTACCAAATTTGAACCAACTTATGCCAGACAAGCTTTCCCCTGTTTTGATGAACCCCATTTTAAGGCAAGATTTACAGTACAGTTGGTTCATCCTACAGATGGTTGCTATAGTGCCTTGTCAAATATGAATGTGGAGGTACATACTTTTTAGCAGTATTAATTATTACTATTTCTGAAAATAATCAAATAATTTATCAAGATTATTTTTTTTGTTTTAGAAAATAGAACCAAATATCACAAGTGGCGAAACAATGGTGACTTTTGCAAAAACTGTACCCATGTCGACATACTTAGCTTGTTTTATTGTCAGTGATTTTGTTGCTGACACTAAAATGGCAAAAGGAAGGCCGAAAGGACCGACGAGGGAGCGTCGAGAATTTCCTGTCAGTATTTACTCTTCAAAAGTACATTCGAAAGGAAAAGGCTATCTTGCCGTGGAGACTGCTGTAAAAGCTATCGAGTATTATATAAATTTATTCGATGTAGATTATCCATTACCAAAACTTGGTGAGTATTCAATAAAGATTTACGAATAAAGTTTTATTCATTTAAATAAAATAAAATTTTAAATAACAATATAAATTTGAAGATCTTGATAGCTTAATTCTTATATAATTATTTTCTGTGCAGATATGGTTGCTATCCCTGATTTTGTATCTGGCGCTATGGAAAATTGGGGTTTAGTAACTTATAGAGAAGCAAGAATTCTTTATGATGATTTCAGTAATTCCATCTTCGATAAACGTGATGTTATTAATGTAATCTGTCACGAATTTGCTCATATGTGGTTTGGAAATCTTGGTAAGTATTTCTGTATGTACACTATTTTAATTGAATCAAATGTGAATTAATAGAAACATGGGACATATTCTTATTTTACAGTTACTTTAGCCTGGTGGAATGATTTATGGCTCAACGAAGGTTTTGCTACATTCATGTCATATAAGTGTGCAAATGATATTTATCCAAACAATGGATATGTTAGTTTTTTGATAATTATATATATATAATATTTATCAAGATATATGAATAAGTATTTCAGATATTCATAAGCAAATGTTTTTTTCAGATGGATGACTTTGTGGTTCATAATATGCATCCTGTATTCATTACTGATTCAACATTGAGCTCTAATCCCATTGTTCATGAGGTTAAAAATCCAGATGAGATAACTGCACTGTTCAATGATATAACGTATAAAAAGGTATGATTACAGTATACTCTTAATTATTTTGTAATTTTTATTTTTTATTCCATTCAAATTTTTTATTTTAGGGAGCATCTGTAATTCGCATGATGGAAAACTTTCTTCCGCACCCTATTTTTTTTGGTGGTATCAGTGTTTATTTGCATAAATATTCCTACGCAAATGCGCAAACTGCGGATCTCTTCAACATTTTTCAAGAAGGGATTGGAAAAACATTGAACATAACTAGTATAATGGATACTTGGACACGGCAGGAAGGTTATCCCGTTATCAGTGTGAACAAATCTGAAGACAACAGCACGTATATATTAACACAAAAGCGATTCTTGGCTGATCCGGATTCAAAATCCGATCCTTCAAAATCGAATTATGGGTAGGTTATTTTATATTTAAATAATATGGTGAAGAAATTTATTTAACGATTGTGTTACATCTTATAGATATAAGTGGACTATACCAATTACTTATATCACAAACAAGGTTGAGTATCCTACTCTTGTATGGTTCGATAAGGATGCGAGTGAACGTATGCATTTTAATTTTGTAATTTACAATCTGTAAGAAACGTTTTGTTTTACTTTCTATGTAAAAAATTATTTTATAGTGGTAGTTGAAGTTGACGCAAATACTAAGTGGATCAAATTTAACGTGGATCAAGTAGGTTATTATCGAGTTAATTATTCACCACAAGAGTGGACTAACTTTACTGAACTGCTTCGAAGTCATCATACGGTAAATTCGCTTAACTTTCTCTTTTGCAATTTAATGTAAAATAAGAAAATAAAATTTTGTTTTGATCTTGTTTCAGCTTCTTTTTTAATTAACTTTGCATGTGTTTTATTATTGTTTTGTATTTTTTTCCTTTTTTATTACAGAGATTATCGGTATTGGATCGAGCAAATCTTTTGAACGATGCCTTTAGTTTAGCTGAGGCCGGTGAATTAGATTATGAGACCGTGCTACTCATGTGTGAATATCTCACAGAGGAATATCACTCTGCTCCATGGGAAGTCGCGAGTTCGAAATTGGTATCTATTTATACTTTGTTAAACTCCAGGGACACAGTATCAGATTCTGCATATATACTTCAGGTAATATATCAGTCAGAATATTATTTTTTGTCGCTGCGAAAATTATTTTTACGTGTATAATTAATATAATTTCAGAAATTCGCTGCACGTTTAGTTAAGACTATATATTCGGATGTAACTTGGACGGTCAATAATACTGTCGAAGAAGAAAATGTGCCGTTATCTCATATTCACAGGAGAGTGCGTCCGATAATACTCAAATTTGCCTGTCAAATGCAGAATTATGAATGCTTGAGCCAAGCTAAAATTCTTCTTGAAGAACATCTGAACGAACGAATGGTGCTACATCCTGACATTCGTGAATTAGTTTATCACTTTGGTTAGTTTATCTGACGCAATTGTACCATCCATTACGCAATACACTATATCATAAAATTATTAAAAACCTTAATAAAACAAATTTTTCATTAGGTGTGTATCATGAATCGGCTCAAGATGAGAATTGGAATTATTTGTTCAACAAATTAAAATTTGAGACTGATTCAAGCGAAAGAAATAAGTTGATGACTGGATTGGCTGGTATAAAATCTACTAAGATGTTAGCAGAGTTAGTATCAAGTTTACTATCGACAATATTTACAAATATTTATTCTGAGATAAGTCTTATTCAAAATCAAATAATATGTATATTATTTTTCTTTTATCTATTTAGATACATTGAGAAAGCTAAAGATGAGAAAATTATTCGCACTCAAGATTTCTTGAATTGCTTAATTACAATTTCGAGAAATCCCCTTGGTACATCGCTAGTATGGGATTGGGTACGCAATAACTGGAATTTCCTGGTGGATAGATACACATTGAACGACCGTTATCTTGGACAACTTATACCGAGTATTACAAGCTCATTTGCCACGCAAACCAAGTTGGAAGAGATGAACAGCTTTTTTGCGAAATATCCCGAAGCTGGTGCCGGTAAAAACTATCGAGTCAAAGCTCTTGAGACTGTTACGAAAAATATCAAATGGGTTGCTAAATATGGCAAAATATTCGATCAGTTGGCTCAAAAAGAATTCATGCAGAAAATGTTTTAATAATGTGAGTGTGTTTATGTAATAATATGAACAAAAGAATATTTCGATACGCGTGATATTAATGTGAAGACAAAAAGACTTGGAGTCTACCGGTTCTTGTACATTTTCTTGTACACGAAATCTTCATTGAAGATGAAGATATTTTATCATAATTTTGCATAGTATTATAAGAGTTACTACTTATTACACAGAGGCAATCAGGAAATCTGTGTTCAGTACGCTGAATATACATTGTGATTAAAATTTTTAGCCTGTTACGTGATTATCGTGACAGTACGGCTATGGTAAATACGAAACATCAGTCTGCATTTTATGATGAGTATTGCAAGTGATTCTATTGAAAGTGATTTCAGTGTATTTTTTTATTTGAGATATTTCGGCTTTTGCGTTTCGATAAATTTAAAACATTTTTAATAAAATTGCTTTTTTCACGATTGAAATCAATTCGAATTTATTTTTATAATGTAAGTCTTCTTTGAGGAAAAAATTTGCTTTTTTCCAAATATAAATAAAAAATGCAATTTTTCTGATTTTTTTACTTCAGTCACTTTCATAATTGCTAGCACATATGTATATCTGTTATGAGCAATATATTTATAAAAAAATCTTGTATTAAATTATATACAACTTTATACAAATACAATTTTTTGCGATCAAACGCAATATTTTAGATATTTTTCCCCCGACTTTGGATCTCAAATTGCTTCGTATGTCGCACATGAAAAAGGTCGGATCTATTATGAGATTGATTGTATTGCGCTCTATTTTCTTCATAACTGGTTTAATATGTGTTCGATTGGCCGATTATTGCCGTAAATAAAATAATGTAGGTGGCAAGGGTTTTAATTTATCTTAAGACACACGCAAAAGCATATTTCATCACGAACTTTGCTTAACATAATATATCCTTTTCCAGAGCAAAGAATCTGATAAAAATAAAAGAAAATAAAGATTTGTTTCACCCATCGCAAACTTTGAAAATTTTGCTACGTGGTCAAACTAGCGATCTATTTTTTTACTCGAGAGGGATAAACTGATTCGCCTCGTCATTTCAACGTGCGCTAGTCGAAAATATTGCGCGCGGAAACTATGTCGACAACACTTCGCGATGTAACGAACGTCGGGCGACAGTGAAAATATTTTCTACGAGGTACAACGGCTCACGGAAAAATGTGTGCAACGCGGAGTAGTATGGATCGCTTCCTGTTTTATTTGCACTATTGAGTTGCGAGTGATTTCCAAGTGGATTCAACGGCAAAAAATACAACGCATAAATTCGAGATATGAAACGACTCTCAAAGCGTCGTGTATATCACTTTGACATGATGTAAACAGACGCGCTGCAATATGACATCCAACAAAACGTTGGTTACACAACTAATTAAAATATGTTGCGGTTCCATTACATCGACGCAAACAACATAGCCTCCCTTTTGCGGAATAATACCGCAAAAAATATCTTTTATAACACAAATTATCATCATTTTCTATTAAGGTATTTGTAGCTATTCCATTGTAAGGTTATAAATTTTTTCATTCTATATATTTTTATTAGATTGATCTTAATTTTATATATTGGTCATTCCAGAGATTCTATTTATATACTTCATTTATGCAGCAAATGTGTCAATCATTCTTTTTTTATCATTCGATACTGCATTATTTTCTTTCAGTCTAATCATTCTACAACCGTGTGAGGCTTAAATTATGTAATGACTTGATATACTATGACAAATTGTAAACTTTCTTACGTCTTACAATTCTCCACGTCGTGGGAACATGCAAGAAACATGATACAGCGCTTCTGCGAGCACTAATTAATTCAACGGTCGATGACCTATGAATTGAGTCAAGAAATTAGAAGTGTGGTAAAAAATATCAAAACAACTTTGTTTAAAAAAAAAAAATTAATTCATTTTATTTTCTTGTTAGATGAGTTATTGTTTTGTGACTGTCCGCTACTTTGTATTAATGATGAAGGAAGATTCAGTAGTGAAGGACATCGTGTATACTTTCATCCCTCGACTTAGTTATCAGAACAGATTTATTCCAACCTGAGCTTCCTATATGAGCATATATGTGTCACCGGATTAACACATGAAATCGTTAAACGTTCACTGACTCTGCGCGAAGAGCATTCCATTGAATATTTTTATATTACTCACAAGTTTTTATATACTCACAAGTGATTAAATTGCTGTTCGATGGCAATATTGATAGAAAAGAGTAAAAGTGGTTTTATTAATTAAATTTAACGGTAAGTGCCACGATATGTGTGTGTTTCGTTAGGCAATATGCATTGAGAGAAAGAGAGACGGAGAAATGCCATGTGCAATGAAAATCCAATTTCAACAGTTACGTTATGTTACGGAATAAAGCTCTTTCTAAGATGGAAAAAGCAGTTAATTGCATCGAATTTGCAAATCCGCAAAGCCCTTTGTGCCATATGAGCACGTATGTGCGATTAGCCACGTATTAGCCTTCGAGGAAAATCGCGTAGCGTGCATGAGAATATCCTGCAAAGCATTTTAAATGTGTAACGAGCACATTCCGAAATAATATTATCTCGTCTAACGCACATCCGGACACGATCGAGCTATAACCGGCTGAGATAAACCAGTGTAATAATTTATACGTAATTTAAGAGTCGCGCTGGTCACTTATGTCTCATCTTCTTTTATTGACGTTGCAGTTACGTTCGCGACGCTTTCGTGCGTCATGTATTACATACTTGCAATCGAGGCTCGGCGGGGGTTGAAACAGACCGAAAGATTAAGGCAATTTGCGATGGAAAGAACGATGGCGAGAGGAACGCCGCCCCGACAATTAATATCAGCTATATTTCCGTCTCTGCGTTTCAACGAACGGAGATAAACGAGTTTCCAAGTATTACAGGAAACCACGAGGATTAAGATTTTTCTTCCTTTTCCTCTCTCTCTCTCTCTCTCCCTCTCTCTCTCTCTCTCTCTCCCTCCGTCTCTCTTCCTCCCTCTTTGCTGTACATAATTCTGCTCGTAGGATGTAAAACTATTGTCTCAAGTTAATCTCAGTCCATTCAGTTTTCAAGCTCGTAATTTCCTTTATTCCACGCAATTTCTTTGTTAATGCGCTGACTCCTCTCTTTTAGGTTTGTAAATACACTCGCGATTCTCCGACATCGCTGTTCCGCAAAGAAAAGACAGAAATAAACGGTACGTATCTATCTTTAATTGAATCGTGATCGTCTGCGGTTCTTGCGGATTTTGCTCGATCTACGGATTTCTTTCGTGTCAAGAGTCGACGTTATTATTACTGACGTTCTTCTAGATCATCCAGCCGTTCGCGGGCAATCGTGGCAATTCTGACATGTGCATTGCTTTTTTTTCAGGATCGGCGAGGGCAGACATGCTGATGCAGTCGGATAATCTCACGAATTGTCGGGCCGCGGCTTTCGAAGAATACGTATCTGGTGATCGTAAAAAGTAAGAGACGATTCGCTACCGCTTGCTTCGGAGAATTGCCTCAGAGGACCTTTTTCGGGATGCTCTGATATTGTCCCGAATTGTTCGCCGATTTCTATGCAGGAATGGGCGCAATTATACCACCGATACGACGAGATAATACCTCCACATTGTTATGAGAAATTGAATGAAGTCCCACGGATGCTGTCTTCTCTGCTCCAGATTGCAAGGGGAATAATAGGGATTCATGCTGAAAGAATACGAAAAAAGGTATGCCAAAATCCAAAATTGGCAATAAGTCGGTGTAATAATAGAGAATATTTTGAATCGATCGCTTATTTCAGTATTGTTATTTTTATCAGTGACGAAATTATTTATACACTCTTAGACATCTAAAATGAATAATTCTACGGTTCTTGCATGAGTAAAATGTGCTTATGAAACATAAATGCAAAATTCAGCGCGCGATAAAAAGCGGACCGGTAAAGCAAAGTTTCTTAAGTCGAACTTTCTTTTTCCGAATAATATAATCTCGAATTTCTTAATGATTGCCATGAGAAATGCATAACTTCTCTATGCATAAAATAATAACGTTTCGATGTAGAGTTCCGATGTAGAGTTCCACGGAATTCTCGAGGGAGAGCAATTTGCTCTGCGCTGGCAACGCAAGAAGTACTTCGCGGGCTACTTGGCGTGGAACTTCGATCAAACTTCGCTAATAAGAAGATGAAAGAAACATTACACGTGCACGTTGTTATATCGTTGCGCTGTAATCGCGAGAAAAAGTATTGGGAAAGGTGATGAATAGAACTTGAATCAACGGGAGAAGCATTAAAGTAACATAATGAAATCGTGAAACGGACCCTTCGTTCTTTTCTTACGTGTAATCAATGAGAGAGACATCGCAAGAGGCCTTTTTATTCGAATACATTGCAATTAAGCAGTTTTATGATATATGAAAAAATTCTGTCCGTTCCCTATTATTCCCCTTGCGTCGGAAATAAGAGTATCTCGCAGTGTCGATGAAAATGTACGCGATCGATCCATACGCGATAAGATATATAGCGTTGCATTTGCAAAATCCATTACCTATTTTTTCGATTTCGCGATTTTTGCCTGGCTCTTATCACCGCGCGCATTTATCTCAAGCTGAATCGCGCTTGCTTTGAGGCACGAAGAGAAGCATGAGAAAATGCTAAATATAAAGGATAATGAAAATGAAGAGCTATCGTTGTTAATATAATTTACAAGCTAATGAGGAATTTATTGCAATTTGTTTCCCCTTTACTGTAATTTGTTTCTCAAGAAATAATAATGTTTTTGCAAATTTCTACTGACAAGGGCAATGTTATCTTTTATGAAATTAATTAAAACGAACGGGGATTTAGCTTGTTACGTTCATAAACTTCATTATTCCACGGATTCATGAAGCCTCCTTATTTTGCCGAGGCAAGACAATTTTGAACACTTTGCAAATATAACCAAATTACATTACATTCACAAACTTCTCCAATATTACCCGTCAGCCTAACATAAACAAACTTTGGCCCTTGAAACACACGTAGATGAGAAGTTTGCGAAATGGGCATAGTGACACTCGGGTCATATACATTCTCCTCTAAATTATAAGGACAAGGCATAAATGTTTATAAAATGACGAGTGTTGCAAGAGGACGACTGGGATAAATTGTACACGATTATCTATTATCATTTTATTTTATCGCAATCGCATATTTGGGAAATATGTCATTTAAAACTGTTTAAAATCGCTAACAAGATCTTTAACGCAATGAAAAGAAGTTGTAACATGATGTAGAAGGAAAATTTCTAGTTTTTCCAGACGTTGAAAAATTGTCGACACGAACTATTTACTCGCGCAGAGTTGCCGCCTGTCAAATAACTTCGTGAACTTGAGCAAAAAGTCAATCGTACTCGCGCTATAGGTACGCGTTCTCCAATTCTTTTTCCTTTCTCTTCCAGACGAGCTGTTCCCGCAAATAATAATTCTATTTGACCTCTGTCGAGGTTGAGAAATACGCGAAACGAGGGTTCTGTTAGCCCTTTTTTCGGCTCGTTAAGTGAGAAATGAAAACAATCGTGAAATTGAAGTGTTTGTTTCAAAAGCATTCTTCTCTTTTACAATTATTTTATTGTAACGCACTGGATTCTGAACTGTATTTAAAGCGTTTCTGTCGCATAAGATCCAAACCAAATCGAATATAATATTTATAATTAATTTACAATTAAATGTAATCAATATGCAAAAAACGGTTGAAATCTCCGATCTTATACTTTAGATTTTTTTATATTTTATCACCTATTTTACATTTTGGAGCTTATCATATTTTGGCGTGCAGGCTTTAATACAAGATCCGATTCGGATCCAAATGCGTTCTATTTGAAATACGCCAAAGTTAAAGCGTCGAGTCGAGGACGCAATAAACTAAATCGATCGATTGGCTCATGTTAACTGTTTAAACTTCGCATTGCGCTGCTGCGATTTTTACACATGCAGATTGTAAAAGTTATAATGGGCGGTTCTGCAACAGGGATTTGGCTACCGATGTACAAAAGAAAACAGATAAATCTATGTATATTTCTCTCTTTGCATCACGAAATGTCTTTTCGTATACAGAGATGATAATTTCGCTATTTCGGCGAGACTATGTCGCGTTGACAGCTTAAGCACAACGCTTTTGTAATATTTCTTGTAATATTTCATTGAAATGAATGGGGGCCATGTTTTTCGGTCACGTCACGCCACATCATAGATTCGTTCTGGAATTTTATTTTTATATCGTACAGTTAGAAGCCTCCTATCAATAGCAAGGTCAGGAAACGAGAAACAGGAAGACGTAGCGATCTTTCGAAGCCGAAAAGATATAACTTTTATCGTTTTCGATGGCAAATTTTTTTTTCTATCTATTTTTATCTCATCTAACGAATCATTTTGATAGCAGCATAATTCTAGAATGAAAACATGTGAATATATTACAATTTATAAATTGAAAGACATTATATAAAATTATATTCTTTATCTGTTTAAACTTTATGGTTATCCAGTTTTTTTACACGGTTATCCAATTTTGTTTCCAATTGACTCCATCGAAGTGTTTATGAAATCAGGAGGATTTGATGACTTTCCAACTACCATTTGTTAGTATTATACATTCAATCCTGTGAACATACAGGCGAAAACTGTAAAATTTCATTCCCGTAAAAAGTTCCTACGATGCTCTAGGCTGAATGAGTAGTTTCTATTCAGTATGCGCGTGGGGAGTGGACTTCGTTCTTTCTTCTGCGAGTGCCGCAAGCGATGCTGATGAAAATGCAGAAAGACCAATCGAAGGAAGTTCAGGTGGATGTTACTGAGAGAGAATGACAGGAACAATAACAGGAAAGGGATGAGAAAATGGAAATGTACGTGAATCGCACAAAATGAACGAATAAAGTTCGAAACCTAGACTTACTCCAAGATCTGTGGAGTCACAAGCGCACGATGAGTGCGTCTGAATAAATTATAAATAATTAAAATTGCGAGTAATCTTAAATAATGAAGCGGAAAAATTATTAATTAAAAAATAAATTATAAATGCAATCAGAGATGCGCTTTTCATTCTATCGAATAAGTAAAACGAGCGAGCGCGAAAAATACGACGCGCATAAACGAAGGAAAAGGTCAGTCGTGTAAGGTTTGCGCCGTCAAAGAATGTTCTTTTAAAAGTCATTTGGTCCAACACAACGACCCAAAAGAACAGAGTCGACTCAAGGAAAGTTGCTAATGAAAAATTACGCCATCGACGAGCGCCGGAATTGGCAATTAAGCGCCATTACAGGAGGTAAGCGGAAGTTTTCGAGAGAATGAGATGTCCACGAGACTACGCGCGACAGCAAAGGCAGCTTAACTTTATTCTCGCCATAAATTTTCCTTTACTGCGTCACTTTAGATCCCGCAACAACGCAGCAGGTGTTTACAGACCGAAGTTTACGATTAAAGCACCCGAAGGATTTTTGCGGTTGCGTTGCCGCGTTGCCTTTTCATCTACTTTGTCAAAATTCCTTTTTTTTGGATGTAACAAAGAATTTAACATAAAATGAAGTTACTCTCACACCTGTAAAATTTATGATTGGAACAAACTTTTTAATAAGAGTAATTACAATTCAAATTTTATTTTAATAAGGATATTCGCGTTTTCAAAATAATTCGTTTTCAAATAAATAAAAACTTTTAATCTAGAAATGCTTTAAATTTTGTTTGTCCAGAAAATGCGAAATGTTAAATTTATATTACAATGATGAAGTGTGTAAATCAAACTATTTTTAGCTATATCTGTTATATATTTGTATGCGTGTAATCAGAGAAAATACTTTCACTTTTCTAGATCGAACAAATTTTACGCTATGAGGGTCGCTATCTTCACGCGCTGGCGCGAAACTCCCACCATGAGCATCTCCGGCACGCGCTGGTTTCGAGGGCGATTCGGCATTTCCACGCCAAATCGAGTTCAGCTTTTTCCCCGGCACGGTGTGACGCTCTCCTCTTGCAATTGTGTGAAAAAGGAATACGTTCAAAGACACCCTGCACGATCGCGTGTCATCGTGGTGCGATCATCTCCGGATCTCTAAGATTGGATTTTCGTTGGATTTAACAGTTGCTGTAAGTAAATATATATTATATATATATATATATATATATATATATATATATATATTTAAAAAATATGTATAAAGTGAAGAATTAATTTCAAACGGGATGACGTGAAATAAAATATACGCGATAAATTATTATTAATAATGAATAATGAGAAAGGTATATCTATGACGATTAGAATCTTTGCGAAATAGAAATCAAAATGATACACACAGAATGTGTCAGATTAGTTCAAAGTATTATTGTTTTATTGAAGAGATACACTGCATATTTCTAAACGAATGATTCACAACACGGGAAATTGGCACTGTCATAATCCTGGCGCTCCGCCTGCGTTTTTATTTTATCTTTATGCAATGAATGGACAGAAACAAGTTGTGACGCGAATTAAAGAAGCAAAAACACGCGTAAGAAGGTGCAAAGTCATAATGCGCATTGTTCTCTTTTCCTGCAAAATAAATCAAAACATATAATATACATTGTTTAAATAAATATATTGCAATAATATATGAATGGACACATTATGGGTCTCTATATATGGTAAAAAGATTGTGGGAGAGCAAATTAGCTTGGAATAAATTAAAATTATTACGCGATATCAAAACTTTGAATAATCGAAGACACTGATAATCGGGCAAAATTCGTTCGGAAAGTTTTGAAATTGCGGTGCAACAGGTGACGTAGATCGTGCTGGTTCAAATTAAAATTTATGATCGGCGCATGCATCGTGTGATCGAATACGTGTAAGTCCGTTACAAAGTGGATCGTCGAAATTTATGCGTTTTACGATGGTAAATGTCAGACGTCTCGCTTACCCGGGAATGATCCGAGGGTGACCGTTGCCGATCGATAACGCACCCCGATTATCGCTGCACAGACGCGTTTCGCATAAATGATTATTTTTCGCGCAACAGGTGAAAGAATTGCGATGAGTTACTTTCAATTATCTGTGTAATTTATTGTAATTTGAAAGTGATTCTGCATGTAAATCGGCGCGTAGAAACGTGAAGATTCTCAATCAATGAGAAGAGAACAAAAACACGGATGCAAACAGTGCATGTTTTGCAAGAATTTCTTGGAAGTAAAACTTAATTTATCAATTTTGACTGAACCAGTAAATAAGGAAAATTCTGCACTTTCGTGATAAATAACATTGTTATATGTTTACAACCGAATACGTTTATCTGCATTTTCCCATTGCTGACTTCAATTCCGATTTATTGCGGCTTCCCCTCGACCGTTCGATACACAATGCTCTCCATATTTCCCGCGCGTTCCGCCCACTAATTAATCGTTCATCTTTAAAGTAATCGGTCCTACAATAATAGAGTCAAATTTACTCGTGCTAAAATTGAACTTCAAACCGCGGTTATTTTTATGCTGGAAAGATGTTGCAGATAGAGCACGTAAAATCGATATATCGTGGCACGATTGCCTGAAAGAAAACGGGAAATAAATGAATAAGCGAACTTACACGGCGGGTACTCTATTATCGCAAGTGCAATCCCCGCACACGATGAACTTTCAATTGATCAATAGGTGATTCGAGATATTTAACGGTATCATCATTTAGTGGTACTGAAAGCTGCGCTGCAATCGCGAATATTGCGCACGAGCATAATCGAGGGATGCTATTTCCAATAATTGGATGCCATAGTGGCTGCTGTCTTATGAAGGAGAGTGGAAAAAGTTTGTCGGTTTTTTTATCAGTAAAATCTCTCCTTCATATACTTTTTATAATATGGAATTAGAGCATAGTTTCATCTTCATAAAGCCTCTTTTTAAGTTTAATATTCTCATGATAGGATAATGGATAATCATTTTGAAGAAATCAAATAAACTCGCGGCACTTTAATAAAGCTATCAGAAAATATCTTTTTTAAATCTAAAAATTTAAATCTGATCAATCTTTCTGCAACGAAAACGGTATCATGAAAGCTATTATCGTTATACGGCGTATCATCTGTTAGTAATTGAGGATTTAGATTGACAAGCAGCGAGGATCGCGCGTAAAGCACAAGATTATATGTTCGAGGACATGTCAGTATCAGTTTTATCGTCCCCTCTCGTTAAACACGCGAGAAAGAATTTTGCACACGGAAAACTTTTGTATTAGTTTTTAAAATTTTAATTCTTTTACTCATCAATTATCAGCACCATTAGTATGTGTAAAATGTTAAAGATGTTTTGCTAGACATATTAATAAAGTCAAGATTGAAATCCATTTAACCTTAAGATAGAGTTCGAAGAGATTTAACGCTATCAAAAGCACGCAATCATCCCAACTGTCAGAATTAATCAAATCGCTCTGCAATATTCAACATATTAAGATGCACGATATTATTATTTGATTGAATCCTCTTGAACTTGTTTGTTCACATTAGAAATTAAACTTGCAACATTGGCTACGTGCCGAAAGCTGAATTGATTTTACTTTTAGCTTTGATACGATTTACAATTACAAACAATGCAAAGAGACTTTTTTAATTTAAATAGAATTTGTCATAATTTTTCTTAATTTATTGCAAAATTATACAAGTGTAAAAAATGAAAAAGTTAAAACAGGTAAAAATTCTTTTTATGGTTTCGCTAATAAAAAATTAATTTTATGTTAAATAAAAAATATAGATTTATAATATATAATATTTCATATATATTAATAAATCATAATCTTGAATATCTTTATCGACGATTTTTTTCCGAAGCTACAGAATTAATCACATGTCTTAAAGTCACGAAGTGAAAAATTTGATACATTGTGTGTGCTTAATTTAACTCGATAATGCCTTATTTAAATTTTCTACATCTCTCCTCTCATGCGTTCGATTATCGATGACCTCGGTCGAGCGAGAAATCACCATGCGGATGCGTTATCAAGCACTAATTTTGCGTAAACATCGCTGCAATCGGCGAGCGATCAATCGACCAATATTCGAAGCTGCATCTCGATGTTTTGTTTGAAGCAAATAGGTTTAACGCCCTCGATGATCATCCGCGACTGTCAATTGACGTCATTTCTCGCGTTTCCCTATTTGCGCCGAGTTTAGCGATAACGCGAATCCAACTCGGATCAGATGACAGGTTGAATTATACCAGTGATGTTTCCCGTTAACGCCTCCCCGGAATGAAGGATTAATTTCTCGATCGATAGCTGTCCAACAAAGAGCTCCGTATGTTAATGGAACTATAATATTGCGCGTTGTGCTAACAACGATCATTACACGCTGATCTGGGTCGGTTGTTCCAATAAAGAGTGCATTAATCAATCTATGCATTAATCGTGTTAAACATTGTGTTGATCCGATATGGATAATTGTTAATTAACGCATCGGCGCACTTGTGAAACTGAAGTGAAGACAATACTGCGGAAAATCGGCAAGATCGTCATCAAGGCGGTTAACGACACGTGAATAGATTTCGCGACGCTGTCATATAAATCATGCATCGAGCGGACGAACAAACGCGGTAAATGTTACGAAATTAATGTAAATCAAGTCGATAACATATAAACAAATGATGATCTCAGTGATTTCAATCTCAAGAGTTTAACGAAAAGTGACGGCGGCGAGATTCGCAACTGTGCATTCGTTCGATCAACGCTCGAGATACATATCGTCAAATATTACGCGATTATGCGATTGCTTACGACAATCTTACTTTATTTTTATGAGTGTTTTAAAAAAATCTCGCTGTTTCATTAATAAAATGTTAGTGCTAACGGCTTATGAAAAGAATAGTTTGAGCGTACTAACCTAGTGTCCCCGAAAACCTTTGTTGTTTGATGAGATGCATGCGTAATCCGGTGAGTCGGTGCATCGAAGAAAGATTCGCAATGTCAAAAAATTTAACATACAAAAAAAAACGTTCAATGGCTTCGACAGATGAAAGGCTAATTAAAGATCAGACATTTTTATCTGAAAATTATTAAAATTTAATGTAATAAATAGGACGCTATTATAATCTCGCGTTATAACTATCAATCATTTTAATGTTAATTATTCTAATGTATTTCTCTTGAGCGTGTCGATACCGCGGCTTTGTAAAGAAGCGCATATTTTAAAACTATGTCGTAGACGATTCGGTTATTCAAGTAAAGATATAAATGGAAGTAAAGTGAGAAGTCACGATAAAAGCAAAGCAAGACACTTTGAAATCTTCAGAACTCGGCGAATTTATGAGAACAGAATCCCGCGGAAGACTGAAGAAGCGACGTAAGACAAATAAACATATGAAGAGAAATCGGCAGCTACCGGAGCGGTTCTCAGTATTCGACAACGTTGACGAGCCATTGAAGACAATTAGCGTTGCATATCGGTCGGGAGGAACGAGTTCACGTCGAAAATAGCGCCATGTGTTTCCGTTCTGTTCGCCGTGGACAGCGTTTACGAAAGCGCAACGGCGCGTCGACGGTGGCAACATCGTCGTGAAGGCAACAAGAAATAAGAGGCGTGCGAGGAATAAGAAACAATTTTCGCCATATGCGCAGTACGCACTTAGGATCCCGATGAGAGAGCAGTGTAAGCTGCGAAGTTAGCTTGTGCGGCTTGTGATTTTCGAAAAATCCGATCTTTTGATTTTAACTTTTTAAAATATCGGATTAGATTTTCGCATTAAATTCCGCAATTTTTTGAATAAAAAAAAATTATATTTTCACGATTTTTATATGGCAATTTGTTTTTATTTAACTATACATCTGGTGACATTTCGAAAAGCGAGTGGGCGATGTGTCTATATTTAAAAAAGAGTTAGTGACCAAAAACGATCAAATTATATATCGGAATGTATATACCGCAAAGAGATAGCTTTATCAGTGGTTCCATATGGATCTATAAATTGGATGGAAAGCGGATATTTGTTAACCGGTAGCAGGGATATCATATATACGGGACTGGTAGTAAAGATTTCAGAAAGATTTCTACTCCATTAGCGAGCGTACGAATTTCGTGAATAATTTCGCGCACTAACGACATGCATTGTGAAATGCTGCGGTGTTCGCGTAAAATAGAGCAATTAGATCCGCCGTCGTAATGACGCTATTATAATGCGAACACGCAGCAACGTCACAAGCAAATCTTGCCAGCGGCTACGTTAGGATCCGTTGTGTAATTAACAGACGCGAATGATTGACCGCATTAGTTTCCCGCGGGATGAAAGATCGAATCTACCAAGTAATTACCGGCTTCTACGCTCACACAGAAATTGATGAAGCAATCTAGGAAGGCAAGAATACCGCATCCGGCTACACATCGTAACAATTATAAAATGCGTTAAACACACCGATAAAAATTTACACCGGTGTCTATCAATCAGGATGAGCCATAGAGATAATAATATTGCAAACAGTCTGATTGGGGAATTTACAGGCGGTCCTTCAATTCGCGCAAATTGACCGAAATTAATCGAGGCGTCGGGGATAGCGTGGAATGTCGTCACGTTAATCGGCGCATGATGGAAACCGCTATCCATAATAGCGGCGATATTCCACAAGATAGCACAAGTGCCGGAAACGATGCCACTCGTCTGAATTAATTGCTCCGATTATTATCGCATATCATCGATGTTCGTTCTTTTGAATTCGTCGCTGTCGGATGTCGAGAGAAATCTGACAAATTCTTGTAATTCTAGGTCAACACGTGGACAAGGGTAAAGCAGCGAGCGGGTTTGATTCGCGAGGAACTGCGACAATTCGATTCCTGAAGAAGTATTGATACCTGACAATCGAACGGAATACGTCGAAATCCGCGAACAACGTCACTCGTAATTCAATAATGAACTTTCGTGTCGATACTATCCGCGAAACATTGCAATTCTATTCTCCGGAATAAATCATGCGACAGTATCAACAACGATGACGCGAGAGACTTATGAATAATTTCATAACCTTCGACAATACACGCAGAAATATTTTATGTAAATTTGACTTCTCAGTTTCGGCATGAAGTCTCGATCATCGATCTTACAAACGCGAAACCGAATATTTTTGCGAGTTCTGTTGGCCAAGGAGGAGCAATAAAAGACGACAGGATGATTGCGGACCTGATGCCGAATGTCACGTGGACGGAGGAAATCCTCTCCGATCGACGGGACTCTCTGTACATCGTGCTACCGATCACAGTGATTTACGCGGTGATCTTTTTCACCGGCTTGATCGGCAACATCTCCACCTGCGTGGTGATTGCACGCAACAAGTCCATGCACACCGCCACCAATTATTATCTCTTCAGTCTGGCGGTGTCGGATCTGCTGTTGTTAGTGTCTGGATTGCCGTCGGAGATGTATTATATATGGTCGAATTTCCCGTACGTTTTCGGCGAGGCATTCTGCATCATCCAGAGCTTCGCCGCGGAGACCTCGGCCAACGCCACCGTTCTCACTATCACGGCCTTCACGGTGGAGAGGTAAATATAGGAACGCACAACTATCGAGAAAAGAGGATTTTACTGTTGCAACAATGCCGCCGCTGTGAAAGCAAAATAAGATTTATTTTACACGAAAAAATTCGAATAACTTCTATTATAATAATTTGCAAAATTATTTTCCATATTTTGACTGTAAAAATGAGCGGATTACTTGATATTGCATTGAAATCCTGGATTTTGCGAAATTCAGTAAATACCCTTAGAATAATCGCGGATAAACCGTCGACAGATATTTGACGGAAACATGCGTCTCTAATCTCACTATTTCTCGTCTTTTTCCAAAGGTATGTGGCGATCTGTCATCCCTTTATCTCACACACCATGTCTAAGCTGTCCCGGGCGGTGAAATTTGTGGTGGTAATCTGGCTGTTAGCCCTCTGCCTCGCCGTGCCACAAGCCATACAATTCGGCATCATCTACGAGGACAAAAACGGCACCATCATCCTGGACAGTGCCAGGTGCTCGACGCGATGGACGCTGATCGAGCACGCTTTCGTGATCTCAACGATTTTGTTCTTCGCGCTGCCGATGACGATCATCACGGTGCTGTACGTGCTGATCGCCATTAAACTGCGACGCTCGAGTCTGCTGACCAGCACCGTTAGCAAAAGGCATCGCGTACCCGGTGGATTAAATCATGTGGACAGCAACAGAGGGAAGACGAACGCTCAAAAGAACGTCATTCGCATGCTGAGTAAGTAATGGGGTCACTTTGAACAGCCATCGGAAATTACAGCCATTATCGGCTATCTTTATAAGCGCGGTTTGAAATACCCAGAATCGAGCTTCTCTGAGTCACATTCTTGAAAAGCAATTAAAATTTTTCCAATTTTCCATATACGAAATACGAATGTCGAAACGTAAATGTAACGTATATATTCTCGTTAAATTGAGTTCGCTTAGCTTCTCATGCAAATAATTCAAGCGCGTCTCCTTTGTAGCAGAAAATTCAGACGACTTTAAACCGCTCGAAGCGACTCGGCATTGCGGCCGCGAATATCTTTAGACATTCCTGCAGTGATCTCGTCAAATATTCAAATTCGTGCTTAATTATTTGAAATTTGCCAAGAACGCAGATATTCGAGTAATGCTACATGCGCATCTTGCAGCATATTGATAAAATGTGAGTAATTTCGTAAGCATGCAACTGCATTGGCGCAGACATTTATCACTGAAGTTCCTATTTATTGAACATAAATCTCTTTGTTGTGCTTTTGAAGACTTAAAAATCTTCAAATTCTACGGTCGGAAAATCATAGACATTTGCTAGTCGCTTCTCATGCGAGACGATCATAACAAAAATCATCTAACGAATTTATGTTGGCATAAACGTCTGAGTAGAATCATATGTCTCGTAAAATGTCGTTACATGTTACATATTAAATCTTGGCGAAATCGAGAGTTGTGTACATGCTTTTAACTAGTCAGACAGATTTCTTGAAGGAATCTTGTCATAAGAATTTAAACAATATATAATTGTTGAGCCAATGCAGCATTTCATTAATCGCTACCAAATTTGACGCAACAGCAGACACTGCTTGGTCAAACTTTGTAAATTATGAGAATTACATGAACAACTGCCAAAGTTCTAGTTCCCAAAGTTTAGCTTGATCACCGGAAGATGGAAATTCCGGAGAGAAATTATTCTCCAAGTGATTGATCTTCGACGATACGAGATTCGCGTCGACGTGTCTAGCCTTTCGTATTTTTTTTCCACAACGGAAATTCGCGATATCAACTCGTCGCCGACGGACAAATACCGAACGCTGACTCGAGGAAATCACGCGCGTTCATCGGCTTTAGAGTCTCGTATAAATTTCTCCCTCCTGTCACCGCCATGGCGTCGTACGCAATCATGGCTTCAAGGTGAGCCTTTTTCATTCACGTGACATTTATTCCGGCTGCCTTTACGAGCGCTACCATATTAGACTTTCTGCTGCAGAATTTAGATTTCAGATAAAATCTACGTATTTTGATCTATTCTGAAAATATCTAAATATTTTTCGCGTTTTTGAATTTCTAGCGTCACATTTTTAATTCTTTGCAAGCCGGTAATTAAAAACGATGAGCTTATTTTTAAGAAAAACATTTCTTTCGTCATGGACAAATTTTTTAAAAATTATAGTTATCTTAAAATAGTAAAAATATTTAGATTTTTAGTTTTATAATCGACTAACATTTTACGTTTTTCTCGTAGAGACGATTTACAATCATTGACCTTTTACGAAAAAGAAAATTCTTCCGTATTGCTTTTAGACACGTGAATTATCACGCGACGCGATGTTCTTACGATATTACGGTTCGCACGTGATACGAATGAGATCGACGAACCCATGGAGAAACTCATCAACGACTCCCTTGAGACAAGGCTATTTCCGCCGATACATCGATCAATGAAATTGCTGGATGTGATACGATCATTGAGATATCAACGAAATAAGCGAATCGATTAAGCGATTTCGATTTCGATTACCATACATTTTTGCGATTATCAGGAGGGATACGTATATTGCTAATCGAATCGACTCAATAAATTTCAAAGATATTTGGGCGTTTTATTAGGGTCATATCATATTTCTATGTTTTATCTATCGTCGTTAACACAAGTTTATCATATGATTTGTATAATATCAATAAATTTGCAGTTGAATTTTTAAGATACTTTTTTCTCAATTAAAATTTGAAATTAAAATTGAACTTTAATTACAGAAAATCAGGATCAGATCAAATAAATAGTTCAAGAAATAAACAAAAGCTTATTCCTCGCATTTTTTTAAATGTCAAACGAATGCTATACGAACATAAATTGGGCGAGATATGTAAAACTCGTAATTCTTCAATCTCTGCCTGTTATTATTTCGCATGGAAGAAACGCACATTTCCGGCGGAATCACATCCAGATATAATATTTTACGTGATGCAAAAAATTAAAATCTACTACAGACACCCCAAGCGAGGCGACGAAATTTGAAATATGAGGAATATAAGACTCCAACCGCTACATATTTCTTTCGCGAACTATCGTCTTATCTTCTCCCGCCGTTACACGAGCAACGTTGATTTCAAGAGCTTGCGTCTGAAGCTCCGAAGAATTATTCCGCTCGCGCACAATAATGGTCGTAGATAAACGGCCTGCTCTTCTTCTCTTAACGCTTCTAATCTTTCATCACGTCATACGGCGTGTCCTGATTTCGGTCGCATCGCGAAGGACGAAGCCGCCCGAACAAGCCTCCCCGAACAAACTTTCAGACCTGCGTCGATCTTTTTATTGAATTTCTTGTGAACTTTGCTTTCAAGGTCTTCGAGTATCTCGCAGCAACGAATTTAAGCGACGCAAATAAAGGAGAGATATATGGGGCGAAAACCGACGCAGTTTAGATGAAGCCAACCCTTTTTGCAGAACAATGAATCCTACAAGCCATTAGTATAATAAATATCTAACTTTATGATTTATATCAGTAATTTTAAACATCTCTATAAATAGTACTCAGATTCCAAGTCTATTAAAGTCTTGAAAAAATAATCATCTCTGCATTCTTGATTCTGTATGTAAGAGTAGCTATTTTTGACACAAATACTTTGATGAAGCAGAACGCGATTGCTGCTTTTACGCGGTGTATTTCTGGATACATTTTGGCGAACTATGGCTTGTATACTCTTGCTTGATGTAGCCAGCCGATTCCAGTCTATTTTCCGCCCAATTTAACTTACGTAAGCCGCGAGGAGTGATCCTCGATCGTATCGAAGCTTCTGTGTGATCGTGGATTACATCCAAATTTAAGCTAAATTATTATGACAATTTGCAGATCTTTCGAGCTGCGATTTATTACTCGCGTTAGCGCGCCGATCATTTTCCGATCTCTATTTCATTATTGTATCTGTTCTTCTTGACATCGCGAGCTAGAAATAAACTATTCGGAAATCTGTATGCTTTATGCATGCGCAAACATACTGATTATCGTGTTATAAAATTTCATGAAAAATGTAGAACAAATAATTACATATGTTTGACAAAGTGGAATTGCGCAAGAATTTATTGAAGCGTAAGATTTTTTGATCAAATTTCTCGCGGTTATGCAACCGTAATTCTTGTACAAGATTGTTATACAAACGAATTTACGAAAATACCTCGCTAGTAACATAAATCTCTCATGCTAACAAGAGCGCTGAAACTCTTATATCCACGATGTAGTAGCGCGACCGATTCGATACGAGTTCGAAGTTTAATCAATTTTGCATTTGTGAAAAATACACGTTGTCAGTTTAAAATAATAACCGTCGTATTTTCTTACACAAACTCTCTCGGTGTAGAAGAGTTTCACAATATTTTACAATCTGCGCACTTTTGCCCTAAACCGTTTTTATTTACTTTATTTACTTCCAAATGCTAGCCGAGCGCCACGTGGCGACCAAAAATACATATCGAAAAAAACCATCATTCACGTTTACTTTCGATTTCTCAATATCGTCAAGTGCTAAGGAGGTAATAAGCCATCTTATTCACCGCATCCGTGCGCCCCTACGTCGATTTATCAATCTATTGGCCAATAGAAACTCTCGTCAAGCCTCCGATGAATCGTTTCTTATTACGGTATATATCAAAAACTTTCTCCCTTCATTTACTCTTCCTATCATGCGGAAATAATGTGTGCTTCTTGCAAAAAAAAAAGTTTTACATCTCCCACGTACGCGCCTCTGTTTTCCTTTCCTCCTTCCGAAGTCCGAAACATTCGTGTTCTTCGGAAATGAAGACGAAGAAGACACATTTCATTGACTCTAAGAAGTTAGTTCACTGTATCACTGCTTATCTTCATAATGGAATCCTCTGTTATCAATCCGGTCCACTGGACACGAAATGACGCATACACGAGAGATTAATCGTTTTTATAAATGGCATGGGATATTAAATGTTTGATCTTTTGGTCATCGCTTGACAATGAAATACACCAGATATTTATTATATTTGTACATTTGCTTCGTGAACATATTGAGGAAAATAATTCAGGAAAGGAATATATATTACATTTAGAAATGCATATTTATAATTGGAATATTTACTTGAAAATTACAATATTAAACCTGAAAAATTATACATGCGCATGCGATCGTTTGGAGATACGCGAGTTTCCTGAGCAAGGCCTTCATTATTTCAACCATTGTTCTATCAACAAGCAAATCGATCGCTCGTAAATTTATCGGCGATGGTCTACAGTTTTATTTGCCCGTTACGCTTTTGCGGATATTTACCTACCGCAAAGATCACAGTGCACGTGCCTTTAGGCGGCAAGTTTTTCAATACGCGTGGTACGTGATCATGAAATATTGCGTTTATCAAACGAAATTGAAGCGAGCTTTTGATCCGTAATAACTGCGCATCATTCTTCTGTTATAATTTTCTATTGTTGACTTACACATTCGTGGACAGCAATACATTTATCCGTATTTTCCAATAATAACGACATTTAAATGCAAGCAAACGCGTATATATACAATTGGAACATAGTAACAAAAATTGAAAAAAATTTAAAGTCAACACGTTTTTACCTAGCGCAAAATCCGAATTATTTCATATCCAAATATGCGAATCGGCTGCCGGCAAGATTCACGAAAGTGGAAACGAAAAACCATTTCGAGAGTCGCGATACGGTCTGACTCGAATTTACGATCGTATTGGGATCGCTTATCTTCGAGTCTGATGGCCAGGCGCTTCGGTTGAAGAGATAATCGAAATAAAAATGTCGGTCGTCATACTGTCCAGCGTGTGGGTGAATCTCGTTTGCTGACGACCGTGAGTAGTAATAAAATTCCCTTGCAGTTTGTAAAAAAAAAAGAGAGAGAGAAAAGAAATACCTCTGCGTTTCCGTGTCGCTGAACTTTTTCCAGCACTGCGAAAAACTGCGACGAAAAACGGAACGATGTTTCAAGTTAACGCTCCAACGATTCATTTACGTTTTGATCGATAGACGACTGAAAACAGGTATTTACGATTGCAATATTCCGTAAATTGTAAAAAGTCGTCAACCAACATCGTTTCCTGGAAATTACAGAACGCTCCTCTAGAACATGTGAGACGCTTTTTTGTAAAATATTTTTCAAAACTCGAGAGAAATGTTGTGGAAAATTGTCCAAACTCTGAGAAATATTAAAGGTGAACAATGTTTTACATTTTATTTCTGTTCTTTTCTCAGTACTCGTGTAACAAAAGGCAAAGAGTTCGATTTTTTTTTTAAACACTCTTAATAAGTTGCGATTTTATTCCGAGTTTCTTTATCTTTCAGCTTTTATATAAATTATAATCCACTGTTCATTATTCTTTTTTCTTTTTATTAAATATCGAGTTTTTTTAAATTAGCGCCACGGAGATAATTACAAATAAACTACAAAAACTCGATATTTATTGGAAGTAACACACGATTCTTATAATACGATTTTATTTGAGTTATTTTGCGTTTGCTGGCTCTCAAGTGTTTTCTTAGTACATAATTTTCCAAGCTTTCTCACAGAGATTTGCGTAAATCAATGTTGAAAGTTTTATTCTACCCTACATAAATCTCGCCTTTTTTCGACACCTGTCACATTCGTCATCCCGTAATAACCGTTCAAAGACATTCGAGCAAAGGATAAAGCTGCTTTTTTTACTATATTTTTTTCACTCTTTTTCTGAATTCACAATCATTGCGTGAGAGATAACGTTTTCATCGACCACTCTGTTTAATGAAATGCTTCGCCTCCTTATAGTTAACTGTGCATTACACAAAAATCGTTCGACCGGAATTTAATCATTTTATCTCTCGAAAATTCCGACATTTCTCACTTACAGCAGAGAACAGTGTGACGTAATAAAAGTTCGTTTTCCTGGTGTAAAGTAATGAGATTCCGGAAGGTGACTTAGAGCGGCACTAAATGAAGGCAAATTGTCTCTCTGATGATTCCGCAGTGCTACATTGCGGGTTTTCTCGATACGTTTCAGTGACACGGGATTTGCTCACATTTTGTCTTTATGTGCAAAAAGTCTTCATTCAGTTAATCCTAAATATATACTAACAATTTTTAAACAACGCGAACAAGCTGTTGTAAATCGAAATAGAAAAAAAATTTTTATAAGTTTTTTTTATAACTTAATTTTTGCAGCAATTTAGTTTTAATAATGCAGCAATTAGTTTTAATAATGTGAAACTTTGGCAAACAGTGTTTCATAAGACAGCGAAAGTTTTCAAATTGTTTGACTCGTGCAGTAATTTTATTAATCCTTAATACACTCGCGTTAATTATTCCTGTCGTAAAGTTACTTATTATCAATCTCTCATAGTTGAAATTATCGACTCGAAAGTTTATGAATTTGAAGTCTTGAGTAACTTTAAACAGCATTCGGCTCTTTGCAAATCCAGAAGCGAAAGTATCTTAATTATGCTAATCACTTAAGACTGCTTAAGCACGCGTTAATCTCATTTTACGGGAAGTTATTTAATTCTATTTTTTTCTGTTCACGTGACGCGCATGAGAAATTGAAAGACCGCATAAATTTGCTTTGATCCGACAATGATTTTCTTTTTGTCATTACAGTCGCAGTGGTGGTGGCTTTCTTCATCTGCTGGGCGCCGTTTCATGCTCAGAGATTGCTGGCCGTATACGCTCAGAGCAGAAAATCTGAGCCGGAAGGCGCTTTAGTTCTAGTCTACACTACGCTCACGTACGTGTCAGGAGTATTTTACTATCTATCCACTACAGTAAACCCGCTCCTCTACAATATCATGTCCAACAAGTTCAGGGAAGCCTTCAAGGTGAGTTTTCTGGCTCTTATTCCGGAGAAATCAAATTCCAATTGATTTAATTTAATTTTAGTTGATTTTTCGCTGCATAACTAACTGTATAATTAACTTTATAACTTAATTAAGAAATAGACGAGTGTAATTTTATATTAATTGATGTAAAATTGTATACAATTAATATTAAAAGTAGTTATATTAACTAAAACTTTTTTATCTCTATTCCAAATAGCCTCTCTATACATTTACGTAGTCTGTAATATTTTTTTACCTTTGACACAAATTACTCTCTTCAACCGAACTGCGAACTTGGCGCCCTCGGCATTATCGATAAAACGTCAATTATGATTTTCAAGAGAAAAATTGCGAGAATGGGAAAGCTTCCATAATTTCATTTAATGTTCCTTTTCAGTCGATGTTGCCCAAGCGTTGCATCAGGAAGTGCTCGTCCCACAGGAGTAACCGTCGACAGCCGATCTACAGCAGCCTGTCGCGATGTCAGAGGTCGATGAGGCACCGCTTCGAGGACACCCAGCACTCGCCGTCGATATCTGTCAGTGACGAGCAGCAGCAGCGACTGACGCATATCGTGTTGGCGAACGCGAACTCCTGCGAGCCGAATGAACTCGCGAAGTCACGGGATGAGCAACAGGTGCGACCTGTCACCGCGACTGCTGTCAAAGAATCTGCAGGCCGTCCTGAATACGCGAGAAGTGTGTCCAGAAGCTCCAATTCCAGCCAGCTCACCATGATGACGACATTAAGTAAACAGACTCTCAGCAACGAGGGCAACCATACCGCGAGCGAATATCTGCTGAAGATACACAGATCGCCGAAAGCTGTCACTTTAGGTAGCGTCCCTTTGCTGCTGCCTTTTCGCGGCTCTAATTAATCCACGGTGCCTAAATAATGATAACGGGCTTTTTAAATTTGCTGAAATTTAATCGGAAGACACTGGAAGATACCGATCTATTATGTGCGTGATCGTACACGCATAGAATATTATCTCGCGAATCTAATGACGACCTAACAAGTGAAGTGCATTTTCTTACGCTTTGCTTAACAAAGCAAAGCAGTGTGCTTGTCGCTTCGAAATTGAAGCGTAAATAAACTAGAAAGATGCGAGTAATAAAAATGTACATGATAATAATAATTATATATGTATTTTTTTATGACTGCAGCATTGACATCTGTTCTGACAACGAAGTTATTTAAAAGCAAACACTTGAAAATAAGAAGTGAAATTCGACTCTTCGAAAACGGACAAATTTGTTTCTATTTATTGTCAAGAATATTTGCTTTACTTTCATTTGTGATATAAATAGTAAATAAAAAGCGTAAATATTTATAAAAATCTCTTACGGCCCAGTACAAGCTATAGGGAAGATATTCTCTGGCACTTCCAGCAGGGATCCTCACGGAGAAACTCGGCCTCGGCACGAAGGGACTTTTCGCCGCAAAACACCGGAAAAATCCGCCGATCAACTCGACGAAGCCAAAAGTGGAGAACGCGTTACCAGCGTCGCCGCCGCCACGATTTCAGAGCCATCCAAGCATCGAGAGCACCAACACGATCAGCAACTCCAGTCTACAGGACCTCGACGAGAATGAGTTCACCGGATCGGAGTTGGCGCAATACATGGGCGAGCTGAACTGCGATCTGGTCACTTGACATTCGTTCTCCGCAGCGGAGCGTCGCCTTTCGAATTAAAGGTAACGCAAATGATTCCTTGGATGCCATATCCTTACACTCTCTTGTGTAAATTCTCAATAGAACAGTTCAAAGGTCGTGGTAGTATGCGCTTTCACCTATAGTGTTTGTATACCTGTGTGAGAATACGTAGCTGTCGATCGAAGAATTAAGCAAATTACGAGTTTCGATGCAACGATGAATTAATTGCGTGCCGGACAATGCACAAAACAGTTGCATCATTGGAACGAATTGGCGCGGAACGCGCGACGCGACCAGTGAGAGATTATCGCTGGAGGGGACGAAGTGAACGGAATTGATCCAACATGTCACGTAAGAAGAGTTACAAATAACAAACTATGAGAAAATGAAAAAGAATGTAAACGTTATTAAAATCGTCTACGGTTCTCAGACTGAGCGGAACGGTTTACGCGCGTCCGCGATTTTATGGAAGCAGTCGAACCAGAAATTGCGACATGAACAAAACGAAAAAACCCACACAGGTGAGTGTTTAATATAGAGATAAAAATACGTACGTTCGCGTACGTTCATATCTCCCTGTCCAGTATGGCTGTTAATAACGCTAGTCGTCTGTTATAAGCGCGGAGAAAAATTCAGCATTAAGCTTTCACAAAAATATAAACATGAACGATGGACATATTCTCTGATACGATAGTGAGTAAAAAATAAAACTGTTATCATATGATAAAACATCCTGATTTTTGTTTGTAAAACCTTAAGAGTGTTAGATTAATTTTTCTTTCTGATAATGATAAAATTAATAATGATGATGATATAATATTACGATGTAATCACGTAAAGTGTTCTGTTAAGATTATATCATGTTGATGCAATGTATAAAATAGCTTGTTTTATGTCCGCCGCTGATCTTTATATTTTGTAATTAAATGAAATATATAAGAGAGAGAATTTTAGCGTACGCTAATCGTAATTGAAAATTTATATAGGATATAAAAGTCTGTGTAACTTATTTATTTTTTTCATCTTATGCGACGCTAAGAAAATGTATCAACTTGTATAAAATTATTTCGATGGCGCCAATAAAAATCGGTATTTTGTAAGAAAACTTTTATATAATAGTTTTCTAAATTTTTTGTTCATCTTTTACAGTAAAACTAGAATATTAAATAAATGCTAATCAGAATTACCATTTTTTCAGATAGATTATTAATAAAATAATATTGCAAAAATTAGCAATATCCAAAAATATAGTCGCAACTTTTTTATTGATGCCATCGATTTATATACATAATTTCGAATAAACTTCGGGATTTATTTTTATACATATATTATTTCATGACGATAATTTGATCGACGATAGATGCATCTGAGCCATTTATTGCATATACGAAAGCTGTACATAAACATGCATATGCATATATCTTGCTAAGTAAAAACGTAATAGCTACTTATTTCAAGATATTCCAATAAGTGCATAATGTTAGGTTTTGCTATCTTAAAGAATCATTTATGAAAAATTATTTTTGCGATATATTTTTTTAGATTACATCGAAAAATGCTTTTATGTTTATCATAGAAAAACAATGATAAAGCATTTTTCTCTGAGGGGGCTTAAAGAAGAAAGTGTCTCTTAGAGTGTCGATGTAAAATTAAATCATGTTTATTCGATGGATCTTAATCTCTTTTTACGCTTATCATATAGCGATATCAGTTGTTAGATTGCAGAGTAACCGGCTAAAACTACTCCGAATTAACACAAATTTTTTTTACAAAACTGTAAAAATTTAGAAAAGAGCAACATTGATATAACATGAAATCAAAGTGAAAGTATAAAAGCATAGACTGTTTTATTTACAATTCAGTCTTCGGTCGCTTCTCGATGTAAGCTTTAATATTGGGAAGCGCGCGGACCTTCTCCACTAACTTCTTCAATTCCGGATGATCCTTGTTCGGATCTCCAGCCAAGACAACCGATAGATATTCACAATACGCAGCCCACAAAAGATCTGCCCATGATAACTAGAAATACAAAAACATGTTTTCGTATTTTTAAATAGATAAAAAATTGTGATTTAACAATGCATAGACAAGCATATTTTCTCTTAAATTTCTACACATATTATTTTATAATTTCAATAATCTATGTGTTCAATCGTGCATTGAAGAATTGCCATTTTCTCGCGCGCACCTCTTATATCAACGATTTTAATAAATGTAATTAGTTTGGCGATGAAAAAAGATAACACATGTATAATATCTTTGGATTAAAAGTCTTTGGTAATCATTTACCTTGCCACGGACGAAGTGTCCGCCGTTGCTCTTAACTTGAGCCTCCAGCTTTTCGAGCAGGAAGGGCAATTTTTGATCAGCGGTCTCTTTGAGTTTTGCTTTCAAGGCGGCATCCTGTTCCCAGTAATACGTACTCAAAGCTGCGAAAATAAATCTGCATTGAAATTTTTGCGTCACAGAGAACACTCCTCATTAAAACGCCGCGGAAAAAAAGAGCAATAATGATATAGAGCGCGACAATTGTTCAGGAAATGCACGGCTTGTTGACTCCAAATAGCCTTCAGCTTTTATAGCGCGCAGCACAGCGCGGCAACAGCAATATTGTAACCGGCTTGCATAGCAATGTATACATTGCATCATATTGCGTAATCAAATCTCTCATCTACGCGGTAGAAACAAGAAGTTACGCACATACGTGTGTGTGATTATATAATTAATGTCGCCGGCGATCCTCACCTACTCTCAAATCGTCGATAGTTTCGACCGTGGCGTCGATCTCCAACGCCTCGATATCGTCGGACCCATATAAATTGCCCTTCTTGGCGATGAAGCGACTGATGGCCTTAGATTGAGGATACTTTTGACCGTCGATCTCGAGAACCGGTAATTGTCCCAAGGGCGTGTCTGCAGTTCGTAGAAATTAATTAAATGATTGCAGAGCAACGAAATGCGTTTCGACGCAATCGACAAAACAAGTTTTCTATGAAATTTTATTTGGAACTCGTAACATACTTGGTTTATGTTTCGGCCATTCATCGAAGGTGAGTCTGACATCTTCGAATTTAATCCCGCTTTGGCTGAGCAAGTACCTAATTGGCTCGCCTAGACCGGTAATGTTAAAATATGTTACCTTGTACGTCGGCATGTTCTGAAAATAGCGTAATCAAACATATTTGCACAGTGAACTTTTACTATTTCACACATTATTAGATCGATTATTATTCTTATACGATTCGACGGTGCTCCGCATTTAGCTATTTCAAAATATCATTTTTTTTTTAATATCAGTTTACAGAAGTAGATTGCAAAGTGCAGAAAAGATATAATTTTTTATTCTGTTACTATAAAGTAGCATTTTTTTTAAATATCAGTTTACAAGAGAGAGCGTTATCCATTTAATCGAGAAGCGTAATAGAGAGAAAATATTTTTTTATTACCTTCTAGTTTGTAATCCAATCTTTTTTGCAAAACGACTCTGAAGACCGATGTGCACCTTCTCACGAACTGAGAACGACTGACAGTCTCTTTGAAGCGCGAGATATTTCTACAGTCTGCAGTAGCTCGAGGACATACGCTCTTATGTTAGCAAGTTTAGATATACACCGGATATTCAAAATAACACTTATAACATGTTTTATGTGTGTGATGTAATTGGCATTACCTTCCAGAGACACACACACATACAGATTTTACGTGTAGGAAATGGAAATTGTGTATTTTTCTCATCTTCTCCTGTAATCGACATGCTGATCACGGAACCACTGATCATTAATAATTATGTCGAAGTCTATTATGATAAATAGAGTTATCAATACAAAGATTATTAAAAAATTGTGTATTTACTGTTAAAGGTGATAACTACTTATATTATTAAAGCATTTGTATTATATTAAATGTTCTTTGGTAAAAGAGCGGCGCGGAAATATCGGAGAGACAAATATGCCAGCTAATTACCGCTTAATGCCGATTGATGCAATTACAATGCTCTCGAAAAATCAAATTAACTTGTACTCTTCGTAACGTTACCTCGTTCAAATGAACAACGCATTTATTTGTTATTAAAATGTATCAAGCCACGCATCAACTACGGTATTAAATATATATTACTATAGATATTTATTATCTACAATTATGTCGAGATGTAATAATTATGTAAATATGCGATACTGTTAACTAGACAACAATTTTCGTAAAATATATTCAGCTTAAATGTATACAACTGATAACAAAATGTGATAACAAACCTAATATGCATGTACGATATGCATAATGAATGTTTGCGTAATATTGATATGCGTAATGAATGTTTGTATCTCATCTGTCAATACTCTATTATAAATGTAATTTTGCAATGTCATTTATTTAACATGCGTTCTTTTAAACACAGTCCGCATATCAACGTTCGTGCAATCAAGATTTATCGTCGATGAGGCGTGGTTCTGTCCCCACCTTATCTACAATATAACGTATCATTATGTGAAGTACATAGTCAGCTCTTCTTGTGTGCTTATGCGTCTATTAATAGAAATTACTCATTACTTCTGAATGAATTGCAAATTTTGTACGCATAAAAAATATATGCAGAAAATGTGCGATAAAAACTAACAGAATCGAATCAATGCTGAAATGTATATTGAGATATTAGGAATAATCATAATTTTAATATAAAAAGTAAAAGAAATAAAGTAAAAAATGTATTTTTGCTTCTTTTTTTTCTTTATTCATTAATCATCGTACGTTTCCATATGTTTTTTAATATATATCAATTAGAGATATTTCTTCCATATATTATATAGTTGGAACAAACGTTTAAAATATAACAATTGAAATAAAGAGTTTAAAATATATTATGAACATTATATATTGTTGAAAAGGATTAATTAAAAGATGCTGGCTGAACTTTGTCCAAAACATTTTAATAACACTATCGAAACAATGTTATACAAAGATATTTTTGCGAAAAGAATATATTCATCAACACTATTTTACTCAAGTTTTTATTGTAAATACTATTATCCAAAGGTGTCCTCGCGGCATAATAGACGAGAAACACGCGCATGTTTCCAGTTACTCAACGAATAGCCGTAATTCCCCTCGATTGCAACTAACTCATGCGACCTTCGACTACATTACGTCGATACTGCGATAATGCTGTGACATAGCAACTTCAAAAGTCACGATATCCCACACGAACCTTCTACAGCGCTGCATATCAGCATTTCGCAATAGCTACGGTTTAATTATCTCCTCTTATCTTGTTTATCGTTTCTTGTTATTCAATAGCAGTTAAATCTTACGTGGTTCTGGATACTCGACGTTGGAAAAATAATCAACATTCCTGTCAATTATCTTCTCAGTGCAAGATTTTCTCCAGGGGAATTCAGTACGAATAAAATTATATTGACCTCAACCTGAATAAATATAAGTTATCTCATAAAGAAAGGTGCGAAATATAAAAACGTAGACGTGCTCTAACAAATTGAATGAACGGAAAAATAGGGTTTGCAATTGTGAAAGAAATCACAAACAAAATGATTGAAGTAGCGATTTATTGAAATACAAAACTAGCTGTATAATGAAAAAAAATAATCTATTTCTCAAGTGAATAACAATCAGTCATCTTTAACGAATGTTAAAGAACAGGTATAGTATATTATAGGAATAGTATATTAAAAATATATTCGACAATCTATCGTACACACCTGCCGTACATAGATATTAAAAGGGGAAAAATATGCGATTTAATCCGATAAGTGAATAATCAATTATCTTCCAATGAAACTACAGATCAGATGGCGGACGTTTCTCGACCCATTTCTTGATGTTCGGTATCTCTAGAACCTTCTGCTTAAGTTGCTTCAGATTCTCGTACTTTTCGATGATGTCTTCCTTATGCATATGGTTCAAATAATCCAGAAGTGCGACAAAAGTGAGATCGGCCCAGCTCACAGCGCCACCGACGAAGTAACCGCCATTCTTCTGCACCTGTGCGTCGAGACGCTCCAAGTAGAACGGCACCAGCTCGTCAGCAACCTTGCGTTTCTCCGCTTTAACTGTCTCGTTGGTCTCGTAGTGGAAAGCCGCAATTTCTAATGTAAAAAAAAGAAAAGAAAGCACATTAAGATGAACAAAGAAATCCAATCAAAGAATCGAATTGGTCACTTAAATTCAAATATTAATTTTGAGAAATAAATTCGAATCTTTGGCCTTAATGGTTAAAAAATTGGAAAAAAATTGAATAAATGAATTATTGACTACTCACTGGCGCGTAAATCGTTGATATTATCAATAGTAACATCGATTTCCAGTGCTTCCCAATCGTTCTTGCCGGCAAGTTTGTACTGCTTCGCCAAGTAACGGCAGATAGCAAAACTTTGATTGACCTTTTTTCCGTCTATTTCAAGTACGGGTACTTGGCCGAATGGCGTAGCTGAAAAATAATAGAGCAGGTGAATATATTATATTAAATAACATAATAAAATCGGAAGTCTATGAGATAAAATAGCTATTTGAATTTCTAATGCAACGAATATGAAATTATATCTATCCTACAGATATAATAATACAGATAAAATATTATATCTGTAGGATATAATTTCATATTCATATATATTAAGTAACTGACAATTAACAGTTCATCACTAAAGCTGAATTCATTTAAATACAATTAAATGATTAAATCAAATTCGGACAACGCAGGATCCAAGTATAAATTCGTCTCTATTTTTTATGAATTTATTAAAATTACTCTTTTTGTGTAGAAGCTTCGTGATGCTGAAAAGCTTTCTTATCAATCGTATAAATTTAGTTACGGCGTAACTGTGCATTATCAGTTAGTTTGAATTATACGAAAATGCTTTCCTTATATCAATACGCTGTTTATTTTGAAATCATACAAACGCGGCACGTTATTAAACGATTGAATACGGAGCATTGTGTTTGCATGACAATACCGCCGATTGTCCCGTAGGACAATTGTAATACATAATAAGAAGTACAGAAATCACCATTGTCAACAAAATAACATTTATTTCTACTTCTGTGATCTACAAAAAATTCACTAGAACGGTAAATATCTTGTTGAGCATTACATTGGTAATAATTTGCTGTGTAATAAGAATATTTTAAATTTTCTAAAGAGTAAAAAAATATGTTATAATGAAAAATAAGTGAGCGCCAAAGTAACATGGAAATCATGTCTCTGCTGCGGATTGATTGCAAGTATTATAAATTTTAATTAGCTCATGCAGGTGTACATACTCGGCTTAATCTTCGGCCAATCTTCCTGATTAAAGCGGTCATCGACGAATTCTACACCAGCATAGCTCAATATGAAGCGAATTGGCTCGCCTAATGCCTTAACGGGGAAATAAGTCAGCTTGTAGGTAGGCATATTGCTGAAAAAAAAGAACTATTATCTCCATGTTTAATTATTATCATAATTTAGAACGTGAGAATATTCCAATGATGGATAATATTTTCAATATGTTTTAATTCTCTCAAGATCATCCATTGATATTCATATTGATATCAGAAGAATTTAGTTTTTGGGAACTTCAAGTTTAACTCTTTGACTCTTTTAATATTTTATTTAATTAAATTCCAATAAGTTAAATATTAAATTTAATATTTAATAAATGTTATCTTTAGTGAAATGAGTGGGTAACATGTAACATGATTAGTCGAATGTTCTTATCTCTTATCACTGAATTATGTTATATTGATGAATTAACATATTTTCGACAAAAACTTCTAGGATGCAAATATACAATATTTAGTGTTCACTCTTTTGCAATTTTGAGATTATTGTACAATTCAATTTCTTATATTTTTTAGCTATTTACATGAGTTATCATTTTTATAACACTTAAAATTATTTTATGTAATTATAAAAATTTATGTGTAACGCTATAAAGATTTCTGTTAATTAAAAAAATTACATTCTTTTAAAAACATAAGGCAGGAATAAAATTTCTATAGAAATTTCCACTCTAAATATTCTGTATAAAAGATCAACACATTGAATTGGCACAATATCACGCAATCTTTGGACTTTATAGAAACTAATAAAAGTTTTATTCATCGTTCACGACTCGTACTTCGTCTGTACATTTTTGATATTGATGAATAACGCCATTATGAAGGCATCTCTCTTCTAGGTTATTTTTGGCCGATATGGATATATAACGCAATATTTTACATCGCAATTATTCGGAAACCATTTTTTCCATCTTTATTCATGTTTCAATCATTATCATTATTGCTTCGTTATCATGATGAAGCATTTAATTAATTAATCTTGACAAATGTTATCCGGCAGTGAACTATTGTACATGAGCTTTACATCAAATACTCACTGTAATATATAACGTAATTTATTGTAATGAGTTAGTTAGCTGACGAAGTTTGGATCTTGTATTAAAGTAAGAATAAAGAGGATCTACTTACATTTTCTCGAGTTCTATAACAGAAGACAACGCCCAACGCACTGGTGACAATACCTGCGAAAATGCCGGTTGAACGCGGCTATTTACTTAGCCTGCCTAGCCCCACTTGGCCCTACCAACGCGATATCCCCTCTTCATCATTCCGATGTGGAACGAGTGATTAAAACGGAGAAGCGTCTCTCTGTAAATCGTAATAGAGGGAATGTACATATCAAGCAAGAACCGCGTATATTCTCCGTAAAGATTGAACACTGAATCAGTTATACATACACACATACATGCAGTGATTAAGAATTTTTATTTTAAGAATCGTGCACATCATTTTCTGGCTCGTTCCTATTGAACTGGGTATGAAGGCGATATTAAATATATAATATGATTTATGCATATCAGAAGATGAAAATCTAAATATTTAATTATTGCTTTACTTTTGCTTGATTTTTATAATTTAATTAACATTAGTCAACTTTTAAGACAATAAAACAAGATGATAGAAAACTTTTCAGTATTTTATGAGCACTTTAATAATGTTAAAACTGACTGAGATATAATTAAGAATTGTATAACTATCTTATCGAAGCTAGGTTCTTAATATTTAATTAATAAATTATTAACAATTGGCATTTTAAATTTTATGCATAAAATATCTTCCAGAAACTTTAAAAACGAGAGTAAATTATTTAAGAATTTTATCAGCATCCTGTGACATTGTGACAAGTAATTCAGAAGAGAAAATAAGCGTGTAGAATACATGTCGTTACCCGTTGGAACAGTCCGAAACCACACTGAAACAGTCGATTTTAGCTGGGATTTTACGAAATTGTTACCAGGAGCACATGATGACAAAGGAGCTCACTCGTAACAGTGCTATCTATTGATTAGCTAAAACAATATAACGACTGATGGTAAGTGTACCGACTAGTGCAGTCAAATATTTACCATCAATGCATTTGTAATGTTGCTTTAGCTAATCAATAGATGGCACTGTTGCTAGATGAGTGAGCTCCTGCATTATCATGTGCTCCTGGTTTCCTGGTAACAATTTCGTAAAATCCCGGCTAAACTCGACTGTTTCAGTGTAGTTTCGGATCGTTCCAAGAGTTAACGGCGTGCTTTCTACATACTTATTTTCATTTCTGGGTTGCTTTATATTAGAATGCTGATAAAATTCTTAAACAATTTACACGTCTTCTTTAAAATTTCTAGAAGGTATTCTGGAAAGTTGAAATGCTAATAAATCATTTAATTGTAAAAAATGCTAATAAATCATAAGAAATGCTAATAAATCATTTAATTGTAAAAAACCTGAGAGTAATATAATTCTAAGTAATATCTAATTTTATTTTACTTCATATTTAATTCTAAGTTATTTTAATTAATGTTAATATTAAAGTTATAAACTTTGTAAAAGTGTAACGAAATATAAACAAGAGTAAATTGGTAAATGACGAATATATATTATTTAACCTAAAAAGAATGATAGATTAATAATACCAAATTTTAACAGCCATAAATATTTCAGAAATCAAATAAAGTTCATGTAAAAGAGGAAAATTTATTTACTTAATTAAGTCATGTACATTTAAGTTTCAACTTCAATACAAAATATTAGTGATTACTTTTATAATGAAATAAAACTCATAAAAATTTAACGTTACTCACAGAGTCTTATTTTATTAATTCGATAAACAAACTATTAGCATAATGATTACAGATTGTATGTACAATGATAAAAATTTGATAAGTAAACTGTAAAATATAACATTAAGTGCTCTTAAATGATTCTGTTTAACTTGGACATAATATTAATAAAATATTAATAAAACTTCTGCCATAAAAGTATATGATAAAAAATTTCTAATAATCATCAAATAAAAATATACATTCCAATAGAAATATACATCCATACCCATTTTCCCATTTTATGACATGCAATACAGAACGTATATTTACTACTGTTTAAAAGAAGAAAAAAAGCGATACGCGATTATATTCAAAGTATAAAATATGTCTACTTTTCGCAAGTATCATTAAAAATGAAATATTTATCACAGTAGAGTCTTGATTCGTGTTTACGTTTTCCTATGTGTGAAACATTTGTCCGATGATGGCGAAGTTCCGGACGGAACTCATTTCGGGATTATGATGTATATCGGTGTTTGAATGTAGACCCGATGAAACGGCCGTGGCCGTTGCATGTGCATTCATTCGTTGGATGTTGTCTATGTATTCCTTGTTCGTCTGCGTATTCAGAGCGCTGTTAATGACGTTCAGATGACCCTGAGGCAGTGTGGTGATGATAGGAGTGATAACCGAGGAAGACGGTGTCGTGGAAATTCCGCCGGTGGTCTGCGGAGATTGATAGGGAGTCTGCTGTAGATTTTGCGCTGGTCCCGTCTGATAATTGCTGTATTGCGCCTTACATTTTTTCTCGTGTACGAACAGACTGCCGGAGTGACTGTACGCAGTGCCGCAGATCTTGCAAGCGTATGGTTTCTCGCCTGTATGTGTGAATCGGTGCTCCTTGAGATACTTGAGCCGCCGGAATGACTTGCCGCAGGTCTTACAATGGTAATTCGCCTCGCCAGTATGCGTGGTGATGTGTGCTTTAAGGGTGCATGACTTGGCGAACGATGCACTGCAGTACTGACAGACGAACGGCCGATCGCCAGTGTGCGTTCTCTCGTGATTGATGCAGTTCGAATTGGATGTGAAACCGCGACCGCAGTACTTGCAAACGTGTGGTTTGTAACCCGTATGCGTTCTCATGTGAAACATAAGGCCGGTGTTCTGCCGGAACGTTTTGCTGCATATGTGGCAGAGGAAACGCTTGAAGTTCGCATCCTGCTGTTCCTTAGCACGCTCATGAATGCGCACGTGTCGCTGTAATTTGATTTCCTTCTCAAAGGACTTGTTACATTCCTCGCATGTGTATGGCTTTGACTTTTCGTTGCTCTTCTCTTGATTTTTGTATTTGTCCGCGCAGGTACACTCGCTACCGCAACTTGCACAATACTCGTCCTGTCCGCCATGCATATTCACTTGGTGCTTCAATAGGGACTTCTTTGTGGCGTACGATTTTCCGCAGATTGTACAAGGGAAGCCTTTGCCTTCGTTATCAGAATCCAATTCTTCCCTTATCCAGCTGTTTATTAATTTGATAGCGGATTTGTCATCGGGCGGTTTCTGCGGCTCCGTACACATCTTAGTCTCATCGTGACCGTACCGATCCATGTGACTCTTAAGCCTGTCCTGTCGGAAAAATTTCATGTTGCAGACGTGACAGACGAATTTCTTTTCATCGTGTACTAACAAATGACGCTGAAGAGATCTTTCGGTAGAATAACGTTTGCTGCAATGTTTGCAGTGAAAAAGCGTTGTGTCATCGAATGGCTCAAATTTGTCACTGCTGGAATCGCTATTTGCCAAATCTGAATCCCTTTGTTCCACTTTTGCATTACGTTTTCTCAGTTCTCTCGTCATACCGTCGTTTTCTCCATGCGATTTTTCGTCATACATCGTTTCTTCATCTTTATTTATCTCACAAGACTCCTGGTTGTTTTCTAATCTTCTCTTGTCACGTATCTCTTTCAGTATAGAGAAAACTTCTTTAGGATTTGCTTTCTTATGAACATTCAAGTGTCTAACCATAGTATCGGTTTTTCTAAAACTTTTGTTACAGATTTTGCACAACACCGGCTTCGGCTTCTCCTTCGTTTTATGCAGATTAACGTGCTTAAGTAACTTGTCCAAACAAAGGAATTGCTTATCACAGTTGTCGCATTTAAACTCTTTATGATTATGAGTCAACATGTGTCTATCTAAAGATTTTTTACTGAAATAAAATTTATCACATTTTGGACATGCGAGTGTTATATGTTGTAATGCGAGTTCAGAAGTTTCTTCCGCTCTATGAATATTTCTCACTTTTGTTTGATATTCACTGTCACTCGTATCGCGTTTGATGCTCGCATTCTTCTTGATATATCTTCTTTGCCTTTCTTTATGACTCTTCAAAGTTTCTATAGATGTTACTCTTTTAAACATAGCTAGTCTTCTCGTTCTATAAGCTTCTTTTTTAATTACTTTCTCACGTTCTACTTGTTTAGATTTATTAACACAGTCTAAATCTGGTTCATTGTCTATTAGAGTGTCTTCTGTGTGTCTCATTTGATTGAAAGTATCCGAAAGTTTACATCCCTTGATGCTCTTTGATTCTGTTGCAAGGATATTCTTCTCTGTATTAATTTCATTATCCACAGTTAACTCTATATTATCTTCTGATTTGATTATATCCAAGGTGCAAAACTGCTCAGTTTGACAGTACTGATCCTGCAGAGAAAAAGAGATATAATTAACAGTCTTAATAATGTTGAAATGATCATTTTACTTGTAGAAATACAATTACTTTTGTGTAAATATAATTGCCAACATTTTTCTTCAAAGTTGCCAACGTTTTCCCATAAAGCCTCCTAAGTTCAGTGTCCGCTCTTTGACACTGTTCCCTTAATTCATAAGCAACATTAATTTTCATCACACACTTGATGCATATGCTAGTAGGCAAACCATCCTCCTCCAACACCTATTTGAGAAAAGAAATGCTTCATAATCTACGCAAAATAATGACATTAGAACGACATTAGAAAAAAACAAACCTCTATTCCTCCACATAACTGCAGTTTCTCTGACAACTCAGGGGTACTCGTATTATCTGAATCATTCCAATTCTTGCGGAAGATGTATTGGTTGTTGTAATCCACAGTTAGACAGACGCGGCAAAGACTGTTGTCTTGATTTGCCTGCGTCAACATTTCGTCCGAGACCTGCATCGAGATTAGAGTATGTGTACAAGTACAGGCAAATCTCTCTTCAGTCTATTTTCTGAAAAATTCACGAGCACACATTGAATCTGTGTACGCTTTCACGAGATCGGCGATGTCATCCTCGAGGCTTAAAATGCTGGACCGCATACGCACTGTCATATGCACACACGCATCCTGTTGTTTTTCTCCGCGTTGCAGAACGTCATCACACTTTTATCTATTGTCGATAGCCTCTTTAACGTGGCCTGTTGTCCTTAGTGAACTATTAATTGGTTTAGATATGAGTCCGCAAAGAGATTTTGTGTAAGAGACTTTTTATATTGTTGCTTTTTTTTGCAGTCGCTGAAATAGGCTGTGTTATAATGGTGGTTTTCAATAGCCTACGAAGGAAAGAGACAAAGTAATCCAAATGCCCTCTTTGTCATCCATGTTTATGTGCCAGACTTATATAGAAAGACGCATTCTAGTATGTACAGCATTCACGGAATTTAGTGGGAGAGTCCTGGAGAGTCCATGCGATATATTATATGTCACAGTAGACAGAAATATTTTTAAGAAATAATTGTTTTATCACCATTATGCCTGTAAGTTCTTGTATTTTATATCAGTAGAAACAGGAAATATTTTTAAGCTACGTGCAATTGTTAGGGCGTTACCCGTATAATGCGTACTCAAAGTGTAATGTAATTTATTTCCTCTTCAGTTTAGAATGTATTTTTGTTGTAATTTCTAAATTAAACACTTATGTTAAATAATATTTTAAAAGTATCATGTACAGATTAATTTATTACTTGAATTTTAATTAATATATAGTATGTACTAATGGTGCATTATATTGGCAATGTTTATGATTCATCAATAATAGATTAGCAGTCATAAGCATATCAAACTTGTGTAACATTGTAATTTGGAACTTCTTATTTTGTTCTTTTAGGCTTATCATTCCAGCTTTACAAAGAGCCATGGCACCATTGGAAACATGGCACTATTGCCAATTAAAACGACATTTAGAGGTCCTGCGCCTCCTTTTAATAACAAAGAACAGGATATAATTGATGAGGCATTGTATTTCTTTAAAGCAAATGTGTTTTTCAGAACATACGAAATTAAAGTAACTCTTTTAAAAGCTTACTGTGAAGTAAAATTCCATGTGCTAAACTGTATACATCAAGTATACTTTTATTGCAGAGCGAAGCTGACAGAGTTTTAATCTACATTACTTTATTTATTACTGAATGTTTAAAGAAATTACAAAAATGTGCAACCCAACCGCAAGCCATGAACGAGATGTTTTCTCTTGCTATCTCCAAATTTGATGTTCCCGGTGATCCTGGTTTTCCTTTAAATTCTGTATATGCTAAACCAAACAGTCCTGCTGAAGCTGGTGAGTATCAAACTAATGAAACATTTTGACAATTAAAGAATAAGAACAACTCAATAAACACAAATATTTCCATATTTTTTACTAATAGAATTACTTTTAATTTTAGATCTTATGAGACAGTATCTTTATCAAATTAGACAGGAAACGGCTGTTAGGATTGTTGAAAAAGTATACGGCGAAGATGGGAAACCAAGCAAATGGTGGCTCTGCTTTGCAAAAAAGAAGTTCATGGACAAATCACTATCTGGACCAGGACAGTGAATTATTTTTTTATATTGTTTTGAAATGTGTTATCAAGAAATAAAAAACACTACGTGTTATCAAGAAATAAAATTATTCGTTATGACCTATTATCATTTTTATATCAATTTTGCTTTTTTTTTAGGAAAATACTTCAAATGTTAAATTTTTATGCAACGTTGATTACTGGAAAATATATAAAGGAATAATGAATTTAGGATATTTAATTTACCACAATTTTACAACTTTTAAGAAAGAGATTTTTATTTTTTATTACAAAATACATCATAATATTGATACAATATATAATGTACACCAACAGAATGATGTATCTTGCAATGCAGACATGGATGTTAGAAATAAAATAATTATCGCTTCCTGCGAAGAGATAGCGTGTTTCGCCTCTTCCAGGCGGCGCGACGCGAGCCACCAATTGTTTGCGAATAACGATGTCCTTTGCCTAATCCGCGCGAGCTTCTACCAGCAGAGGTCTTGCCACGAAGTTCACGATGTTTGTGCACTGCGTTGCATATCCAGTTCACTTTAGGATCGTTACGGATTGCCTAAAATAAAAGCAAATGTTAGAAATATACAATAAATAAATAAATAAAAATAATTCTTAAAATATATTTCCTTTTCAGACATCCAAGGAAGATGAAAAAATCATGATTTTTCATTTATCAATATAAAATGTCATCATATTATGAAATTAAGAACAAATTTAAAACAAACATATTTAATAATTGTAATAAGATAGTGATTTTCTTTCTTTTAAAAACAATTGATAGCTCAGTAAATCAGTTGTAAATATCACCTTGTGTGCAGGATCTATAAGAATAACTTCATAATATTTGTATGAAGAGTCCTGGGCTACCCAATAGCTGTTTAGTACTCGTAATCCACCACAACGGCGGCCAACGCGTTCCTGTGAGGAAAAAAGAACAATCTATGTTAATACAAAAATATAATTTAAAAAATTTAATCTTTAGACAAACAATTTCAGACATCCAAGGAAGAAAAATAATCAAGGTTTTTCATTCTAAGAAAGTTCTATCATCATTTTTACAAATACAAAAAAAAAACACTAATCTATTCTACTGATGTTCATTAATTAAGAAAATTTTATAATTTCCATAATTAATGTATCTATAATCAATAAATATACAATATTTCTCTATTTACAAGAATGGTGCATGATATAGATATTTAAGATTTCTAAGATTCTACACACATTATATATATATAATTTTAACTAATATACATTATAACATCTTACCTCGGCAACCGATTGCAATTTCCTAGTAGGTTTCAGCTGGTTCACACCATGACTCTTTGGTTTGCCATAGGTAGCACCTTTCGGAACTGGACGTTTGCGTCCACCACGACGTACACGAATTCTGAAGATAACAAAACCTGTAACATAAAAATGAAATATTGTATTCATTTTGCATTTTACAATCATATTCATTATAAAGTTAATGAAATAAATATATCAGTAGCTATGGTATTTTTCTCTTCATGAAAACATAAGAGTGGTGCATGTACCAGATCATCATTTATAATTTTTGTCAAGTATATTGCATATTTTGTTATAATGTTAAGCTAAGTACAAATAAGGCAGTTCAGTATAATTGTATTATTACTTTGAAATAATGAGTTATTTTCGGAACGTAAAATAAAATTTACCAGCAGTTATGAAATCATATCCATTCCTCACAAAATGGGAAGTATGTAGTCTAAAAAAATGGCCAAATCTAGAAAAAGAAACAATTCAACAAATTTATATGATATATCTCTGCCATGTATCTTGAGGATATACATTAGTACTGAAAACAAGTGTTCACTGTGTAAAATATGTGAAGGAAACAAATGATACTAAACTGCCTTTGTAATTAAAACTTCAGACAAATATTTCCGTAAACTGCTTAATTAAATATTTCTACATATGTGTAGAATTTATCTTCTCTCTAATAAATAAATAGTGATTCTTACCTTGTTTGGCTTTATAACCCAACCGACGAGCTTTATCAGGCCTGGATGGTCTAGGGGCACGATGCAGCTTGGTCAACTGGCGATACTGCCAGCATCTAACACGCAGCAAGAAGCGGAGCACGTCACTCTGCTTCTTGCGATACAATTCTTGCATATACTTATATGCACCCATCGCGAATCCCTAAGCAGAAACGATCGACAAACTATTAAATCAGACATCATTTGTAACTTGATACTATAATGTTAACAATTTTCTATGTATGTAAATTGTTTTATTAAATATGTATACAGTCAAATTATTATTTGTGAGAATCTTAAAATCGCAAGAGTATCCAAAATCTTTCTAAAAAAAAAAAACGTAGCTGAATATCAGGGCAAGCCTCTTTAGGGTTAGAGTATCTCTTTTCGCGGATATAATCAATCGATACAGAAATTTATGAAAATTTTGAAAGAATTTTTAGCAAAAATACCCAGTGATCAATCTCTTCACGTGTCACTCTCACGAAATTTAAGATGTTTAAGATTTAACACGATTTCCAGGACATCACTTACCCCACGCGATTACAACAGAAGGAAAGAAGGCCGCTCTTGACGATGGAGCTACTTTACCAGAAGACGATCACCTGCGTGGCGCATTCTCACCACAGACGTAGTAAGTATAGACTGCACAAATCCCTATCAGCATAATCCCTAAATGCTGTGTTGAAAACTAACCATAAAATTCAGTAGGGATTTTTGACAACACTGACTAGGAAATGTATCGGTTGGTTTTCTGCAAGTATTCAGTTAAAAAAGTCGAGTGAAGTGAGTTTGAAGTATTTGAATTTTATAAGTGACATTAACTATTAATTAACATGTATATTAAGTCAATGGTATTAGAAGGATTCAAATCCTATGGCAAAAGAATGGAAATAAATGGATTCGACAAAGAATTCAACGCGATCACAGGATTTAATGGTAGTGGAAAATCAAACGTACTGGATGGAATATGTTTTGTTTTGGGCATTACAAACCTTGGTCAGGTAAATTTCATGCATTTTTTTGAAATTTGTGACATAGCATTTGTTAAATTGTGAATTATACATAACTGATTAATTTATTTTGTTGTAGGTACGTGCTACATCTTTACAAGATTTGGTTTACAAATCAGGACAAGCAGGAATAAAAAAGGCGAGTGTTACAATAACATTTGACAATCGTGACAGAGAGTCATCTCCTATGGGTTATGAACACTATGAAGAAATAGTGATTACAAGACAAATAGTTATTGGTGGTAAAAATAAATATATGATCAATGGAACAAATGTACAAAATAAACGTGTACAAGATTTGTTCTGTTCTGTCCAATTGAATGTGAATAATCCACACTTTCTGATTATGCAAGGCAGAATAACAAAAGTATTAAACATGAAGCCAATTGAAATATTATCTATGCTTGAAGAAGCAGCAGGAACAAAAATGTATGAGAAGAAGAAACAATCGGCTCTGGCTACTATAGAAAAAAAGGATAGCAAATTAAAAGAAATTAATGATGTATGTTGTTAATACATATGATATAGTATTAATATTTCTTTATATTTAATTGCTACATATGTGTTGCAGATACTGAGAGAAGAAATAGGACCAAAATTGAACAAATTAAAGGAAGAGAGAATCCAATATGTGGAATTTCAGCGAATAGAAAGAGAGCTTGAACACAGCAAAAGAATTCATCTTGCATGGAAATATGTTACTGCTCTAAAAAGTAGTCAAGAAACAGACGAAGATGTCAAGATAGTACAAGACAAAATAGATTCCAAGTTAGAGAATATAGCTAGTGGTGAAGAAGAAATTAAGAATATAGAGCTGAAATATGCTGAACTACAAAAGAAAAAGGAAATGGTATGATCTTATATTAGATTTTTTAATATTTTTTATGAACTCTATGAAACAAATTCATATATTGTGTAGTTAGAATATGCTTGATGTGCTTAAAATTTAAAAAAGACATACTATATATAATCTAATAATGTAATATTTTTAATAACAGAAATTATATTACACAATTGAGCAAGTAATATTATTTTAGATTATAAAGTAATCTTTTTTAATAGGAAAAAGGTGGTACATTAGGATCCTTAGAACAAGAATTACAAGAGTATGAAAAAAAACAATTCAAAACCTCAGCTGAAGTAAACAGTAATAAGGAGAATATTAAAGCAGCAAAAAAAGCAATAGATCAGATAAAAATGAACATAGCAGATGATAAAAACGCATTAAATTTAAAAGAGAAAGAATTGGAGAAAGTTGGGGGATTTTTTCAGAAATTAAAAGAAATGGCTCAAAAAGATACAGAAGCAGTACAGCAGACACAAGAGAAATATCAGAAGATCACTGCAGGTTTACTAGAGAGTGAGGATGGCAAAAATGCTACTTTGGAGCAGCAATTAATAAGTGCCAAACAAAGTATAACACAAGCGCAAACTGAATTTAAACAATGTGAAATGACTTTAAGTCACAATAGGCAACAGTTGAAAAAGAAACAAAGTGACATGCACAATACTACAAATGAATATAAAAAGTACAGTATGGATCTGGAGAAGAAAGAAAAGGAATTGAAAAATCTGAAGAATGAAATGCAAAAATTAAATTATAAGGATGGTTATTTAGAAGACTTAAAAAATCAAAGAAATACATTAATTGCAGAAATAAAACCATTGCGTGAAAAACTGGATCAGTTTGAATCAAGGTATCCTAGAACAAAATTTGAATTTCGAAATCCTGAACCGAATTTTAATGCAAGATCTGTAAAAGGTATTGTATGCAAATTAATTACCGTGAAGGATAAAAAAGCTGCATATGCTTTGGAAGTTGCTGCAGGAGGAAAGGTAATACTTTTCAATTTACATTACATGTTTCTATGACAATCTTTATTTTACAAATGTAATTATCTTACAGCTTTATAATGTAATAGTTGACACAGAAACCACAAGTAAGAAAATCCTTCAACATGGACAATTACAACAACGTGTTACAATTATTCCGCTCAATCGAGTGGCTGGTAAACTTATGAATGGACAAACGATCGCTTTGGCAGAAAAATTGGTTGGGAAGGAAAATGTCCAACCTGCTTTTTCTCTTATTAATTTTGCGGATGAAATATCACCTGCAATTAATTGGATATTTGGTCAAATATTTGTATGCAAAGATATGGAAACTGCCAAAAAAGTAGCATTCCATGAAAAAATCATGAAAAAATGCGTTACTTTAGAAGGCGATCTCTTTGATCCAGCTGGTACGTTATCTGGCGGTGCTCAATCGAAGTCTGGATCGATTATATTAAAATTAGAAGAATTGAAAGAAACTCAAAATGAACTGAATAAGAAAGAACATTCTTTAAGAGAAATACAGACTGCTATATCAAATGTTACAAAAACAGCAGAACAATATGAATTGTTAAAACAGAAACATGATGTGTTAACTTATGAAATTGATATGTTGAAACAGCAATTACAACAAACTACTCATTATAAAATCAAGGAAGAGGTACGCACGTATATATGTCATTTAAATATCTAATATACATTAATCCAAGCCTTAAAATTTGTTCTCTATATGTTCTTTATGTATATACAACTTACAAGTATTGTTTTTTTTTCATCTTTACTAATACATATTAGTTTTTTTAGGTGGATTGTTTAAATGCGGCTATTGAAGAGTTGACACAGCGGATAACGACAGCAAAAAATCTAGAGAAGGAGAGTACAAAACGTGCCAACGACATAGAAACTCAATTAAAAGATGCAGTAAATATTCGGGAAACACAATTGAAGAATGCTGAAAATCAATTAAATATCTTAAAGAAAAAAGCGGAACAAAGTCGCAAAGAATGGCAAAAGAGGGAACAAGAATCAGAAACGCTTGAATTGGAAATAAAGGAATTGAAAAAGGCTATTGAAAGCGGCAATGAACAATTACTTGAGGCAGAGAAAGAATATAATATGTTAGAAGAAAAAGGAAAAAGTTTTCACCAAGAATTGGATGAAATCAAAACTAAAGTTGACGAAATGCAGAAGAGTGTTAAGCAGCAAAAGGACATTATTAATCAGCAAAATAAAGATATGCAAAAATTGTTAGCGAGAAAAGAAGATATTATTAAACAAAATAAAGAATTAGAACTGGACATTAAAAAATTAAATCATGAAGTTAATGATATCAAAAAATGCGCGGCGGATTGCAAGCGTAAAGTTTCTGATCTCACAAAAAAATATGACTGGATTGAACAGGAAAAAGTTTACTTTGGAAAAAAAGGTAATTAGAACAAATTCTCAGATGATTCTAAAGAAACGTGTTATAACTCTATTATATATTTCTTTTAGGCGGTATATATGATTTTGAAGTCAATAAACCGGATGAAATGGAGAGAAAGGTGCAACGTTTGGAAGGAATGCGCGAGAAGTTATGTCGCAATATAAATACACGATCAATCAACCTTCTCGATAAAGAGGAAGAACAATATAACGACACGTTAAAAAAGAAAAGAATAGTTGAAAATGATAAGAAAAAAATTCTTGAAACAATTAAACATTTAGATGAGAAAAAGAAGCAAACTTTGGTCAAAGCTTGGGAGCAGGTACAATTTTTCAGAGAATTTTCTTGCAAAATTTATTCTATATCTAATTATATTTACAGGATGTATTGTTATTAAGAGAAAGTCTTTTAAAGCTATCTATTTGCACTTTTGCAAAGTTAGTTCATGATGAAGTTCTTATTTTCAATTCTTAACTACTGGAAATCTATTAGATATTTTCGTAGAGGAAAAATAAATTCCAAATTATCTCAGATTTATATCACTTTATACACAGCAATACAACATTTAAACTTAGAACATTATAAACGGATTTGTTTACTGTCATTTTCATATATTAGTGTCATATAAATTTAGAATTTTTTCAAAATATACGGGATGTATATTTTGGACCACACTAACCACAGTTTTCTGGCTTCACAGGTGAACAAGGATTTTGGCTCGATATTCAGTACTTTGCTACCTGGAGCTCAAGCTAAATTACAACCACCGGAGAATGAAGCAATAACAGAGGGTTTGGAGGTGAAGATCGGATTTTCGGGTGTTTGGAAAGAGTCATTAGGAGAATTGTCTGGTGGTCAAAGATCCCTAGTTGCCTTATCATTAATTTTAGCTATGCTTCTTTATAAACCTGCGCCGCTTTATATTTTGGATGAAGTAGATGCCGCGTTAGATCTCTCACATACAGAAAATATAAGTACAATGTTAAAGAGACACTTTAAACACTCCCAGTTCATCGTCGTATCCTTAAAGGATGGTATGTTTAATAATGCTAATGTTCTATTTACAACTAGATTCATTGACGGTATGTCTACAATAAGTAGAACTGAAAAAATAAGAAGAAAATGAGATGATTCATTCACATTTTTATTTGTATGGTAAAATTATATTTACATAGCACTATGATTAAGTATCCATTTTTATAACATACGATGTATATTTTATAATATTAACGTATATTTCTTTAAATTATAAATTTATTTGTATTTCTACTATACAATAATAAATACTTATGTAATTTCATTAACGATTATGTAAAATTAATTAATCTAATGATATAAGTATTTACGCTTGAGAATCGACCATACTGAACCAATCGATTCCTGCGAAGAACGGATGACGTTTTATTTCGTCTATCGTTAATCGTTCATCCGGATGATATTTCAGCATCTGCAACAATTATATCGTATAATATTTTATTTATATTGGAATGTTTCGCAATCATAAACTTACGCCATATAATAAAGATTTTGCACTTTCCGTTAGCTTGTTAGGAATGCTAATTGTGGAATGTGAATGGAATAATCCTGGGTGTTTTGTCACAAATGTCTGTAAAATAGAAGTTAAACTTCATTAATTTTCAAAAAACGCATAATTTTCCTTATGATTAAGTATCAAATTTTACGTACAGTGCCAGTAAACAATTCGTACAAAATAATTCCTAGGCTCCATATATCTGTAGCAGATGTAATCGGAATAAGCGGAGAAAACATTGTCAATTCGGGTGAAGAATATGGATGCGTTAATTTGGACAGTTCTACATTGTGCTGCGGTGTGATATAAGTGAGCTGTATATGCCCTGCGTCATCAAGAAGAATATTGTCAGGTTTGAAATCGAAGATTAAAGTATCCTGTTGATGAAGTGCTTCGAGGGCTAAAATAATTTCAGTTGTCCATGATTGAATTACCGCTTCAGGTATTTGCCAAAGCTTTTCTTCATCGATATTATCTTTACATAAATGCGGATATTGTGTTTCATCAGTACAATTAACGTTTGAAGAATTTATTCGATCTCTACTTCCGGTATCATTATTTTTATAGGCGTATATCGTATTGTTGGTCGAGATATTCTGCGTCGAAATATTGTTCAAAGTAGAGTTGTTGCAATATGGATCACTCTTCTTATTTTTAAGTGAATTCTTGTTATTGTTTCTTGATAAAGAATCAGTTTCCGAATTTTTATTTTCTATAAAATCCTTTATTAAAATATTATCTATATTATTGTTTAATGATTTATTGCGATAAACATCAGATGATATGAGATCCGATTCTTGAGAGATCTGCGTAATAGCTTTTGCATTCGGCGATGATATGTTTCCTGAATGTTTTACTTCTTTAAAATCATTCAATCGACTCGTGATGGAATTGCTTTTCTGTAATGTGGCATTAACAGATTTTAATAATTTTTGTGAGTTTTCTAACAATTGCATAGTAGGCACCTCCAGATAGATTTCATTCTGAATATCTGTCAAGTATTGATCATCTTCTCTTTGTAGTTTATTTTGTACAACTTTATCTGTTTTATTTGATCCATGAATATATTCATTGCTATCAAGTTTTTCATTAACATATTTATTTGCGCATATGTGATTTGAAATTATATTATGCAAATTGTCAGATGTTTTATAATGTAGTCTTATAAAATCCCACAGTTTTCCACAACTATAATACAATGCAAAAATTATATGAATAACATTATACAAAGTAATATTACACGTAAAATCATCATACTGTACCTTGCATACTGCAGAATCAAAAATACAGTTGTCTCCGTTTCAACACATGCGTGCAAATGCACCATATATGGTATTTGTCCGCGTAATATATAATCAGTTATCTTATTTTCACGAACAGAAGATTTTTCTACAGTCTAAAATCATCAGTCACATTATAATTAAAAAAGTCGAATTTTTCGTTTTACAAATTTATCTAATTTATCTAAATATTAAAATTTATAGCAAAATATATGCAATCAACTTTTCTTACCTTTATTATCCTTTTACAATTTGTACGTATATCCATTACAAGCATCACCGATCTCATTGCTTTAAGTACTTTATAATGTTGAAGGTCTGATACTGATTTGCTTACTATTGAGATGTTACAATTTAAATATCTATTATACAATTGTTCGGCTCGTGCTAAATATTTCGATATTTTATCTTTTATACTTGGTACTCTTGTACTGTCTGGATCAAACTGTACACCGTTTATAAGACATGAAATTCCCAGTTTGTATTGTGTAAAAGCTTCCTCGTATTCTGCTATAGATTCATGTTTAAAGGCTGCACTCATATGAGCAGCAGCTATTAAAAGATATTGCGTAGAATCCGACTGTATCTGTGAAAGATTTTCCTTTTCATGCAATGTTGTGGAATGAGTAGAATGTGCTACATTGTAATTTGAAAGATGTCTATTGATATTACTGTTGAGATTATCAAATCCTGACACATTACGTAGAGTTGTTTTATCGTTTGTTTCGAGATTTTTAATTCCTTTATATGTGTCACAATCTTTAGTATTAGCATCTTGTACATGAGATTTTTTCGTTTTATAACTTTGTTCTTCTTTTTTAATATTTATATTCTGTAAATTAGTAGTATTATGAGATTCATTTTTCCTCCAAGATTTTGTAAATCCATTCTCATTCGTAGTACAAGTAGTATTTGACAATGGAGAACATGGTTTTATTAAAATATTGTGAGATGTTTTAGATCGACACGGCACTTGAAAATGACTTTGTGTTGTAGTATCATTTGTAAGCACAGAATCATTCACAGTAACAATATGATCATCCTCTGATGTATCAGAGTTTAAGGAATGTGCACAATCATTAGTATAATTATCCACATGACTAGTTTCAAAGAATGTTATGAAAACATCGCTTGAATACAGATATGAATAGCGTCCCACAAATTCTAGAAACTTGAGAGCATACTTTTTCCTTTCCTCTACAACTTCAGCCTCAAATCTGCCAAAGTATTTTGATTTGGGTAAAATTGGAAAACTCTCTTTTATTCCTAAACGTTTGTGTATGTTACTGAGTTCTGAGTGAAGTTTTTTAAAATCATTATAACGCTTCCACACAGATACTTTTGACACTTCTTCATGAGAAGACTTCAGAAATACCTACAATGAAAATACAAAAGCTGAATAACATTATTGAGATCAAGAAGATAAAAAGTATAACATTCTAAAATACATATCATACCATAGAAGTAACTTTGTAAATTGTGAAACCCTTCTTGTGCCGTTTTATTTCAGTAATTATAAAACGTCTAATCCATTTGTTTTTTGCAGGTGCCATTACTTAATTCATACTTATGTATCATAACTATTCAAAACACAACTATAAAATTCTGTTTGTTTGTCCCTTCAGTTTATCATATATTTTATACATGCAGAGTACATCAGAACAAATTTTGTTGTACTTCAGAAGCAGTTCGCATTTTAATAAGATTTAAAACGGCATCACATTCATGTTAAGAACCAAATGTGACACAAAATACACGAAACACCATTACTTATGGGTTATCTAAAAATTGATAAGAATGGTAAAAGTGACAGGCCAGTGACAGGCAGTCGAAGAAAGTGAAGCTGAGATTCAGAGCAAGTAATATAAAAAAAAATTCCTATATTTTATATGTGATACGCAAATATGCGATACGTTGGATGTGTTCGTTTTGAACGCTTACACATAAGCGCTTATGAGCCAATAACATCACAAGCATTGTTCACATCGTTCGCTTTAGACTGTGCGGACTGTGCTTATGCAATTACATACCACACACAGTCCTGTTCCAAGTTCCATTCACAAAGTCATTTCGAAAAATCGGAAAGAAAACGAAACTGAAACGGCATGACTGACGTTGCCGGTCAACATGAAAATCAATCAGAGTTATCGTTTTAAATGGAATAATTATCAAAACTACCTATCCAATGTTGTGCAACAGCTCTTAAAAGAGGATTGTATGGTGGATGTCATTTTGTCTGCAGCTGGTCAACGTATTCATGCGCATCGTATTGTATTATGCGCATGTAGCACTTTGTTTCAAGTAAATAGTTCTGACTATTTCGAAAAACTAATTACTTTCATAAGCAATTTCACATATTGACACACCTCACGATTACACGAATGAAAACAAACTACGTGTTGTATTTTCAATAGTAGCAAACCAAGTGCAATTGATAGAAATAATCAAGTTTTAAAAATTTCAGTCACTGATTGTTAATGTTATTTTGTATAATTTATGTTACGAAGTTAATTTATATATGTATATGCACAATGCAGCTTGGTTATATTATACAATAATGATGCATAATATAACAACGTGCTGTAGTGCACATATGTAACAATTATAAAGTTAATACAAATGTGTAACAATTATAAAGTTAGTACAAATATGTAACAATTATATAAAGTTAGTATTGCATTATTTATAGGAAGTTCTTAGTCAAGTGACGGAGGATTACCCAACAATTATTCTGAGTGATATCTCTCCCGAGGATATAAAATTAATTATTGAGTTTATATATCATGGTGAAGTTCGAGTCCCTGTAGAAAATATTAATAATTTACTCGAGGCTGCACGATCATTAAAAATAAGTGGACTCGTTAATGTTAGTATTAAATTATAGAATTTAATTATTTATTGCAACTTGTTGAGTTTCTATTTGCTGTAAAGCAACTTAGTATTATATTCAACAATTTATAATATATTATTGTTGTATGATATCTTAAACAGATAGATGGATTCGAAGAAAGTGCAACTACTATAAACAAAAGAAATTATAGTAAAGAGATTGTTACAGAAATGGATGAAGTTGAAGAAGATGTAGTTGAATCTTTAGAGAATGATTTACAGGATCAACATAAACAAACCATTACTGAAAACTGTATTTCAAATAAAAAAAAGAAACGTCGTCGCGAGACTGTAAAGAGAGATTATAGTGATGATATGTTAACATCTGCTATTAATGACTTGAAATTAGGACAAACTTTAATAGAGGCTGCTACTAAACACAATATTCCACGTTCAACACTATATATGCGAGCAAAAGCATTAGGCATACATTTAAATGCATCAAGGAATGGATATCCCGCAGAATGTATGAATGCAGCAATCACTGCTGTAATCAGTTAGTATATTTTTATTTATTTTGCCCTTTAATATTGTGGAATCTTTATATTTTATATTATATCCTGATGTACAATATATGTACATATATTTGTTATTAATAATGTTATATATTATTTAATTGCTTGTTTATTTGTCAGGTGGTTCAAGTTTACAACATGCATCAGAAATGTTCAGAATTCCTAAAACTGTGTTATGGAGACGTATACAAAAAGAAGGTTATCAAATTTTACGTCCTGAAATGAAGAGGACATATGCTCTAGACACAAGAGAGGCAGCTGTTAAAGCTTTGGAGAGAGGGGAGAATCTGACAAAAGTTGCACTAGAATTTAAAGTAAATTTTATTTTACTTTCATTATTTTGTTCTCTTAAAATTTTTTATCTTATTAATAAATTTAACAAAATATTGTTATCTGAAACCTAATCTAACAGATACCAAAGACTACATTGTTTAGAGACAAAGTACGGCTAGTAGATCAAGGTAAATTGCCATTATCGTTTTGGAAAAAACGCAAAACTGAGAATGAGGATTTGAAGAAATTAAGATTAGAAGAAGCTGTGGCCGCTTGCAAAGGTGGTAGAATGTCCCAAGCAGCTGCATCTATGGCGTATCATATTCCAAAAACTACGATATGGCGAAGGCTTCAACAAGATGGGAAAAAAAGGGAAAGATCATCAAATATGAAAAAACAACGAGGATTAATTGATACACCGCAGTATGATACTGAGGTCATTGATAAAACGCAAGAAGGCTCTGCTTTTAACTATTGTGAGGTAACATATACATTAAAAATTATAAAATCTATTAGATAGAAATTTATGATATGTTGTTTGCTAATGAAATGTGCATGATATGCAGGTTTCATCGGAAATACCTATAACTTATATAGATGAAAATAGCATATCTGAAGATTCCGTAATAATCTTAACAACAGAAGAAATAAACGATCTGAATTTGGAGGAAGGCAGGCAAATTATTGTAAACTCAGTATGTATAAATTTACCATAATCGTTTTGCAAATTTACATGTAGCAAATTAATTCTCATTTTTGTTATAATTTACCTTTATTGTTTTCAGGAATCTGGACAAGAGTATGTTCCATGTACAATAAGTATCGAAGATGGTTCAAACTATTCAGAAGCTGAGAGTTAGCATTTAAAAAATGTAGATAACGAAATTGTCTAATTAAAACTTCTTAAATTTTTGCTTTGCATATATTGTACATATATTTTGGAAACTTTTATTGTATTAATATTATATTATGCTTATTTTTATGTATGTAAGTCTTTTTATATAAAGTTGAAAAACAATATATACATAAAAAAATTATCCTCTAAAAAACTAGTTCTAATAAAGAAGGGATAAATTATTGAGAATATATATTCTTATTCTTTATATCTTTGTATATTGTATTATTATTGTTTTATATAATTACAAATTACAAGTGCATGACAGATGGATTCATAATTTATATCTTCTTCTCTTATATCTTTGTCCTTGCAAATATTGATAAAAAAGCAAATAAATTGTATATATGTAATTATACAAAGAAAAAAGTGTACTCTTTAAATATTCGAGAAATTTTATTGTTGAACGCAAGCACATAATGGACGTAAACAGTAAGCAGCATAGGGGAGGGGATACTACGCATATGCGCAAGCGTACATGTGAATTTCGCGCTTCGAACTAGTTAGAAAAGAGCAGACATACTATTTCTGTCTCTTTTCTTTCGCGCCATTTTATCCGGAATTTTACGAAATTGTTACAAGGAGCACATGATTGCACAGGAGCTCACTCAAAACAGTGCTATCTATTGATTAGCTAAAGCAACATTATAAATGTATTGATGGTAAGTGTACCGATTAGTGCAGTTGGTACACTTACCATCATTGTACTGCTCCGAGTGAGCTCCTACATCGTCATGTGCTCCTATTAACTCCTATTAATTTCTTGAAATCTCAGCTAAAATGGAGTTTCTGGTCGTTCAAACATAATTTAATAATATCTCTACATGCTTATTTTCGCTTCTGGACTATTTTTAACAGTATTAGGATGCTCATAAAATACTTAAATAATTAAAACGTCCCTTTTAAAATTTTTGGAAAGTTTTTTGTTGCAAAATTTAAAATGCCAATTGTTAAAGAAATTAAAACACGATGTCTTTTTAGGACGTCTTTATATATATTATATATATAACATATATAACGTACATATATTATACATATATATATATATATATATATAATATATAATATAATATATAATATAACATAAAGCACACATGTGTGTGATATTTCCTCCCTCTTGCGGCTGCGTCTCAAATCTGGCATCGCAGCATTCAAGCGCATTCGCAGAAGTTTCACGCATCAATACGCGTGCAATTGTGTTGAATTATCGGTCGTGTATGTGCACTGTGTGCACTGTGCAGTGGTGTTACAGTGTCGTAACTATTAGCTCTATGCGTGTTCGTGTTCACAGTTACTCGTAATCATTCGTAATTTATCATAATTTGCGTATACAATGTATAACATGCGGTCGTGTAGCCACATTGTAATGCTACAAAAAGAAAGAACATAAATACATAAAAAGCGCGTTCACCAGAAAAGTCAAGTCTTCGCCAAGTCACGCAATCGTATCGGACTGCGACGCGTAGCACATTTTCAACGCGCAATACACAGTTGTGACTTTTTTTGAGCTGAAAGCATCGAGATTCGAGATTCAGTCTTTCAATCAAGCGATTTTAACCTGTACAATTGGAACGCGAAGCAGTTAAAGCGAAAGAATTGCGTACATTTTGCGGTAGGACATGCCAGACAGCGGAGCCGTCTATCAACCGACCACCGTCGGCTACATGTATGACAGCCGAGGAGACAGCACCGGTGGCAGCGGTAGACTTAGGCATGGCTTTTGGCGTATTATGTCTAGACACAAGCTCAGCTCCAGAAAGTGGCTTGAATGGGTACTGCTGTCGGTCGCGCTCTGCTTCTTCGTCGCCGGCCTTACGACTATGCTGGTCAGCCTCATCTCTGCGGATGATTCGACGCAGACGAATCATGCACCGCAGGTAAAATCGCAATCATCATGATTATGATGCGTTAGTTACTTTCCAGCAAGGAACACAAGTTGATTTTTGGGAAGATTTTTAGTCTAATCTTATACTGCCTTTAGTCTTTAGTTTGGTTTTAAAATGCTATAACATAATAGATATATAATTGCTAAACAAGAAAATCTTTAATTTGCGATTAAGAATTTAAGATCATTCTTAAGGCTTTCTTGAACATAAGACTCGGGCTATGAAAATTGATGAAAACAAAAAGTTGTCTACAACTAAATAATTGTCCAACATTATTAGCTTTATATAGTTTTATTTATATCTGTGAAGTTATATTAATTGGACAATTATAGGTAAAACTGGACGAACATACAACAGTGGCTACAGATGTGCAGCAGCATGCTGAGGATGCGGGGAAAAGTTGCATAGCGTTAGGTGCTGGAATGATGCTGGTCGGTATACTGCTCAGCTTTATTTGGGCATGGTTGAGCTTTTTCAGTCGTAGCAAATCGCCAAGGAATGGCATAACAGGTGGCAGTGGTCAGGTAGGCAAGCAATTTTCAGCCGTACAATATTTTGCATAGCTAATTTTATTTTACCGGAAGCCATCCGCTCTCTGGTACGCTCTATACGCTCGTTTCTTTATCTTATGTACGCGTTGCTATGAGGAAAGATGTTGGGCGGTTTGAATCCATCGACTGACTTGCTGGTGGGTTCCACTTCGCAGTACGGGCCAGTACTCACAGAGGTGCCGAGCCAGTTGAAGATGAAACAAGCCGGCTCACACGACGCGCCAGCTGTGCCGCTCTCTGATCAAGAGGAAGAGACACACACGCTAATGCAGGACTCGGCAAGCCCACCGTCTGTCTCTGTTGAATCTAACACCATCGCTAATCAAATCCCAGGTTAAGTAAAGTTTAATCAGTCGCTCTCTTATGCGAGTGAGAGCACACAAGGGGATTTTGTTTTGATTTTATAAATCTTTTAACGTGTTTCGAAAAGTTTATTACAATTTTGTGGATTGCAATCTTGCAAATTATCTAGTTTATTTAGCGACTAAATGTCGCTCTTTTCGACTTTTTAAAAGTCATGTTATTCATGTCTCACTGGCATCTTTGTGACTTAAAATGTGACTTTTATACTTTAAATTATTTTTTTTTAGATTTTTTATGTTGCAATTTAAAAATATTTATTTGGACAAGCACAAATGCAATTTAAAAGAGAGTTGTAGTATATTTAGGCGTTTGTATATTTTTTTTGGCTGCTTATACATTCCTCCACTCCGTCCATTATCATTATTAATACGTTAAGTGAGCATTGGATCCAGATAGAAAAAAATATATTGTATTCTGAGATTTCTGAGAGAGACATTTATGTTATGACTATGTGTGATTACGTCTCAATGATAATCATTTTTGATAATAATTTTTATGTCAAAAGCACAACACATGCTACATAATATCTTTTAATTTATGTTTATATTATTAAAAAAACGTGCGCGCGTGCATGCTTGGGCAGTTCTGCAATCTAGGCACAATGAAATCATCTTGATGTGTTTGCAATATTGATATGTGAATATTGAAAAGTATAACATATCAATTAGTATACATCAAGTAATCAATTAGTATACATCAATAAATCTAAGTTAGTAATAGTGACAACACAGATATTATTGACAATATTATATATTTCTCTTATTATATTTTTTTTAAATAAGTCAATAATTGCCACTGTAATTAATACACAAAAATATTTATGTATATATAAATATGTATAAAACGTAGGGCAAAACATGTGCAATTTAGGAAATGATTGGCTTAAGATATTTAGGATATTTTTGAGCAAGTGCATTTTTCATTGTTTTAATTTACCAAGGAAATTTTATTTCGTGTTTCTATTTGACTTGTAATATATATAAATATGACTTAATATTGCACATAATTTTGTTGCAAAATTATCTTTTGTTATATGGATATATTTGCTTTAATGGAATATTTTACATTGAAGGATGTTTTGTGATTTTTATGCAATTAATTTTATGGATCTCGATTATAAACATAATATAAATGTAGAATTAACCTGTAAGATATGTAACAGAAGATTTTAAATGACATTATTTTTAGGCGTGTAACATTGTATAAAAACATTAATTTAAATTAATTAATGCTAAAATATTTATCATTTTTACTAAAGCGAGGTGTTCAATTTTATGATATCTAAAAAGAATTTTTAAACAACTATTGAAGGATGGCCTCTAAGTTTATCTGAATTCAATGCTGTTATAAATCGAGTATAACATTCTTATTTTTTAATATTTGTGTGAGATCCCTGTTATGTCTGTTACTGATTTGTATATTAATTTATGTAAATGTAAGACACAAATAAACATTTAAAAATGTTCTGTTTCTTTATTAATTATTATCAATTTTATCAATACTTATCATTTTATTTTGGGACCAAGGAAGAGGAAAAGAGATGGAAAGTGCATCTAATATATACATATGAATAAATACGAACAGAATATGCGCACGCAATTTCTTTGACTATATCTAATCTTTCATGGAATGATTGACGCTTTTTGTATCAATCTTATCTTATTTTGGCAAAATACATTTCGTGCAAATGAATATATAAAAGTGAAATTTTCTTATAACGAATAAAGCTGATATACGGTGATTAAAATGGCATTAGGAGCCCTTTGAAATACACTGCTTTTTTAAATAAAAGAGAAAGAAAGAAAATAGAAGAACATATCATAGAAACCATACTATACTCAATACAAATATTGATCACTTAAAAAAGCAGCCGATTTAAATCGACTCCGAATACGTGTCATTTTTATCGCATGAGGTTAAGGCATTTAATATTTCTATCAGCTGTTATGTTCAATATGGCTTCCCGCAAGGCGCGTTCTTTTCCGAAATACCGGAGAAACGCCTACATTAGAACAAATAAGTGAATTGGCAAAACGCGATCGAGAATTGTAAATTGTAAATCACAATTTCGTATAACTTCGTATAATGTATGCTATA